GACCAACTTGTAACAGGGCCCTATAAACGCTAGTTGTGTCTTCATCAAATCTCTGGCCGGTGGCATTAACGGGTCCTTGTGCGTTCCCTGGCCTCTGCCGCCCTCTGATGGCAGCAGGCAGCCCTGTCCCATCATGACTGCCGGCACAGTGACAGTTTAGGAAGCAGGTATCTGTGATTTCAAAATTCCAGCACTTTCCCACCTTACCTGTTCCCTTGACTTACTTTCTTGACTCATCTGCCATTTTTGAGAGGAAACTGGAACTACGTATATGAACTTTCCAGTTCTAACTTTCCAGAAAGCTCTAATGGCTGCAAAATTTCAATGAGACCTTTCTTTATAGTTAGGTGAATAAATTTTATCTATAAAGGATGCTATTTAATATAAGATCAACGTAAAATTTAGTAAATGCCAGGATTCTCATCTTTACTCCATCCCAGACACCTATAGCAGAGAAAAAGAAGAAATCAGAAACAAGAAAAAATCTTGTTCTGGCAAAGGCATAAAGGTAGGATTCTATCTTAATTTAGGTTCCCTAAAAATCAAAATCTAGACTGGGTACGGTGGCTCCCACCTGTAATACCAGCACTTTGGGACGCTGAGGCGGAAGATCACTTGAGCCTAGGATTCGAGACCAGCCTGGGCAACATGGCAATACCCATGTCTCTATAAAAAATTTAAAAATTAGGCTGGGCGCGGTGGCTCATGCCTGTAATCCTAGCACTCTGGGAGGCTGAGGCAGGAGGATACCTCAAGGTCAGGAGTTCGAAACCAGCCTGAGCAAGTAAGCGAGACCCCGTTTCTATTACAAATAGAAAGAAATTAATTGGCCAACTAAAAACATATATATATATAAAATTAGCCAGGCATGGTGGCTCATGCCTGTAGTCCCAGCTACTTGGGAGGCTGAAGCAGGAGGATCGCTTGAGCCCAGGAGTTTGAGGTTGCTGTGAGCTAGGCTGACGCCACAGCACTCTAGCCCAGGCAACAAAGTGAGGCTCTGTCTCAAAAAAAAAAAAAAAAAAATTAAAAATTAGCTGGTGTGGTGGAGTGTGCCTATAGTCCCAGCTATTTAGGAGGTTGAGGAAGGAGCATAGGAAAATGGCTTGAGCCCAGGAGTTTGAAGTTACAGTGCGCTGTGATCATACCACTGCACTCCAGCCTGGGTGACAGAGCAAGACCCTGTCTCAAAAAAAAAAAAATAGCTCACTGCAATCTGAAACAATCCTGCCTCAGCCTCCTAAGTAGCTGGGACTCCAGGCACGTGCCACTACGCTCACGTGAATTGTTCTTTTTTTTTTTTTTTTTTTTTTTTTTTTGTAGAGAAAGTCTCAAACTCCTGGCCTCAAACAATCCTCCTGCCTTGGATTACAGTGCTCAGATTACAAGCATGGGCCATCAAGCCTGGCCCATTTTTAAATGTTTTGTAGAATTCACCAGTGAAACCATCTTGCCTGGACTGTCTTTGTTCAGAGGGTTTTGCTTATTAATTCAAACTCTTTACTTGTTCTAGATATGTTCAGATTTTCTATTTCTCAATGAGTCAATTAGGTAATTTTTGTGTGTTTAGGGATTCATCCATCTCAGCTCAGTTATCTAATTTGTTGGCATGTAATGTTCACAGGATTCTTCTACAATCCTTTTTTATTTCTGTAAGATAGACAGTAAGGTCCCCACTTTCATTTCTGAAATTAGTTATTTTCATCTTTGTTTTAGTTAGTCTAGATAGTTTGTCAATTTTGGTAATCTTTTCAAAGAACCAGCTTTTGGTTTTATTATCTCTGTGCTAATCTTTATTATTTCCTTCTTTCTGCTAAGTTTGGGTTTGGTTTGCTCTTCTTTTTCTAGTTCCTTAATGTATAGGGTTGGGTTATTAATTTGAGATCTTTCCTTCTTTTTTTTGAGACAGAGTCTCACTCTGTTGCCGGGGCTAGAGTGCCATGGCGTCAGCCTAGCTCACAGCAAATTCAAATTCCTGGGCTCAAGGGATCCTCCTGCCTCAGCCTCCTGAGTAGCTGGGATTATAGGTGTGTACCATGATGCCTGGTTAATTTTTCTATTTTTAGAAGAGACAGGGTCTCACTCTTGCTCAGGCTGGTCTCAAACTCCTGACTTCAAGTGTTCTTCCCACCTAAGCCTCCCAGAATGCTAGGATTACAGGCATGAGACACCTCACCAGCCTCCCTCTTTGTTTTACTTAGGCATTTACAGTGATAAATTTCCCCCTAAGACCTGCTTTTGCTGTATCCCATAAGTTTTGGTATGTTATATTTTTGTTTTCATTTGTAAGTATTTTCTAATTTCCCTCGTAATTTCTTCTTTGACTCACTGGTGGTTTAAGAGTATGTTGTTTAATTTCCAGATATCTGTGAATTTTCCAGTTTTCCTTCTGCTATTGATTTCTAGTTTCTTTCTATTGTGGTCAAAGAAGTTACTTTGTATGATTTTTGACCTCTTCAAATTTATTGGGCAAAATATATATTTTCATTTCCCTTGAGAAAATTTCCTCTTTGACTCATGAATTATTTAGAAGTATATCATTTGATATGTGGTTTGCAAATATTTTCTCCCAGTCTATAGTTTGTCTTTTCATCCTCTTAACAGGGTCTTTGAAGAGCAAGTTTTAGATTTTTATCAAATCTGATTTGTCATTTTTTAAATTTTAAAAATAGTACTTTTGGTGTCATGTCTAAGAATTCTTTACCTAGCCCTAGGTCCTGAAAGTTTTCTGCTATATTTTCTTTTAGAAGTTTCTTTTTAATTTTGTGATTATTTTTCAAGTGGCAATTCCAAGATAAACCCAAAGAAAGTATGAGTTATTCTAAATACTATACATTTTTTAGTCTGAATAGCTATTATTATTAAATAGACTCATTTAAATCTTTTGTAAAAATTTACATTTTCTCAACAGGAAGACTCCTTTAATTCTGTTTATTTCTCTCCACTTTTTCCAAAAAGTTTTATAGTTTTACATTTCAATCTATGATCCTTTGTAGTAATTTTTATATAAAACATAAGGTTTAGGTCAAGTTCATTTTTTTTTTTTGTCCAGTTACTCCACCACCATCTGGACACCACATATCTGACAAAGAATTAATATCTAAGATATATAAATTCTCAAAACTCAACAGTTTAAAAAGTCCGATTAAAAATGGACAAAACGGCCAGGCGCGGTGGCTCACACTTGTAATCCTAGCACTCTGGGAGGCCGAGGAGGGCGGATTGCTCGAGGTCAGGAGTTCAAAACCAGCCTGAGCAAGACCCTGTCTGTACTATAAAAATAGAAAGAAATTAATTGGCCAACTAATATATATATATAAATTAGCCGGGCATGGTGGCGCGTGCCTGTAGTCCCAGCTACTGGGGAGGCTGAGGCAGGAGGATTGCTTGAGCCCAGGAGTTTGAGGTTGCTGTGAGCTAGGCTGACGCCATGGTACTCACTCTAGCCTGGGCAACAAAGCAAAACTCTGTCTTCAAAAAAAAAAAGGCCGGGCTGGTGTCTCACGCCTGTAATCCTAGCACTCTGGGAGGCCGAGGTGGGCGGATTGCTCGAGGTCAGGAGTTCAAACCAGCCTGAGCAAGACCCATCTCTACAAATATAGAAAGAAATTAATTGACTAACTAAAATATATATACAAAAAAAATTAGCCGGGCATGGTGGCGCATGCCTGTAGTCCCAGCTACTAGGAGGCTGAGGCAGTAGGATCGCTGAGCCCAGGAGATTGAGGTTGCTGTGAGCAGGCTGACGCCAGGCACTCACTCTAGCCTGGGCAAGAAAGTGAGACTCTGTCTCAAAAAAAAAAAAAAAAAAAATGGACAAAACAAACAGACATTTCCCCAAAGAGGCTGTATAGATGGCAAACAAACATGTGAAAAGATGTCCGACACTGTTAGGCACTAAGGAAATGCCACTTAAAACCATGATGAGAGAGATCACTCACCTATTAGAATAGCTAAAATTACAAATAGTGACAAAACAGAAAGCTGGTGAGGATGCAGAGAAACCAGATGTCTTGAGCATTGCTGGTGGGATAGTAAAAACAATACTCTCAAAAAGTTATATGCTCTGTGATTTTGTTTACATGAGACCATCCCACACCTGCTATGAGTGTTGACAATTGTTATGGCTCACACAGCTGCCGCCTTGTCTGGAGAACTGCCCTGGGCACAATGGAAGCTGCCTCTTGTTCCAAAGCTTCCTGTTCCCCACTTCCCCATGGAGTCTGGGTGTGAAGCTAATCTCCACTGAGACCACATCTTTATTTAGCTTTTTTTCCTCCTGCCCCATCCTACCGTCTGTCCTGAGAGCCTTCCTCCAATAAATCACTCATACCTGAAGCTCCTGACCTAAGACAAGAAAAAAACAGCTAGGCAGGGCAGGGTGGCTCACGCCTGTAATCCTAGCACACTAGGAGGCTGAGGTGGGTGGATCGCTCGAGGTCAGGGGTTCGAAACCAGCCTGAGCAAGAGCGAGACCCCACCTCTACTATAAATAGGAAGAAATTAATTAGCCAACTAATATAAATAGAAAAAATTAGCCGGGCATGGTGGCACATGCCTGTAGTCCCAGCTACTCGGGAAGGAGGCAGCAGGATCACTGGAGCCCAGGAGTTTGAGGTTGCTGTGAGCTAGGCTGATGCCGGCACTCACTCTAGCCTGGGCAACAAAGTGAGACTCTGTCTCAACAAAAAAAAAAAAGAAGAAGAAGAAAGAAAAAAACTGTGCAATAGCAGGAACAAATAAATAAATGAATAAACAAAACCCCCAGACATCTTCACCTGTGCTTTCTCAACCCAAAAAAGTATTTTCATACAATCCAATCTGTCCTTTCAGAGGAAAATAGTCTGATAAGTAAACCAACGGCATTGCTTAGACTTTGCAGCTGAGGCCAACTTCAATAAAACATGACTCAGACCCTGACAGAAAGCTTTGCCAGTGGCCCTAGAGGAAGTGTATCTCTTCCCTCCCTCCCTCCCTCCCTCCCTCCTTCTGCTCTCCCGTCCCCACCCAATATTACCCAGCACACAGAAGCAGACACAAAAACCTCCCCTCCAGTTTCAACGCGTTTTTTGCCCAACCCACCCTCATCCTTCCCATACTGTGTCTTGGTTATAACAGTTCTCTGGGACCTTATTCCTTTCGGAATCCCCAGCCCGACGCAGAAGGCCTGGCACCGGTGAGTTCTCCATACACAGTTACTGAGTGCGTTTGGGGAAGGTCTGGGAGAGTGCGCAAAGGGAAAGAGAAGCATCCAGAAGGAAGGCAGTTGCCCCGGCAGTTGCGGGGTGGGGAGGGAGTGTCACAGCCTTCCCCGCAGCCCCGAGTGCGCAGGACAGAAACAGCCGTCCAAGAGCCTGATTGGAAGGACGCTCCTCTGGCGCGCCGGCGGTGGTGGCGGGGAATGCGCTTCGCTAGGGACCCGGACCGGCCTGTCCCTGGCGGCCACGTGTGAAGTCCCGGGAAGCGCGGGCCACCCGAGGGAAGGAGGCGCACGGGCCCTCGCGTTCGCTGACTTCTCCCCTGTGTAGGAGGCAGCCGTCGGAGAGAAGCCGGAGGAGCGGGCTTTCGGAACTGTGCTCGGCCGGGCTGCACGCACGTCCCTCGGGAGGGACGAAGGTGAGCCTGGAACCGTCCCCCGGCGCGGCCCGGGAGGCGGCGGCGCAGAGGGGGCCCCGGCCGCAATCCCGGGCGGCGATGGGAGAAGCGGGGGCGCCGGCGGGGAGGTGACCTGCAGTGCGATTTCCTGGAACTCAGGACCCAGCTGGTTTCGTTTCCTCCGCTCTGATCTTCCCCGTCTGCCAAAGCGGGACGCGGAACAGAGGTGGGGGGCGCGGAGGGGAGCAGGGGTCTCGGGAACTGGTTCAGAACTGTCCAAACATTCCGGGACAGACGAACTCCAGGGGGTGAGTGGAGAAATTTCCAAGTTAGATGATTCCAGTTCTTAAGGATCAACGCACTCTTCCATTTCTGGGGCTCATTTTAGGCACCACGAAAGTAACCTTCTGAGGGGAGGAGGAAGCACTTGCATTGTTACTACCATTTTAAGATTTTTCACTTTTAAAATTAGTAACCTTTATCTTTTTCACCCAAAAGTTGGGAAAAAAAATTAGTAACCTTTTTTCTCACTGTTTTACTGCAAGTAACATATGAACATATTCTTAGTAGTGTTAGTTTTACCTACTATGTAAATAGCACTGTAGTGAACATCTTCCTATCCATCCATCTGCACTCACACAAGCTTTTCTACAGCATAAATACCTAGAAATTCAAATTGCTGAGTCAAAGTATGTGTGCATTTATATTAACTTTCATCCCTTTGATATCCTTATCATACACTCAATAGGCCCTAAACAATTTTATTTATTGCAGTTTCCAATATATTTTAATATCTCATAGGTAAGTCCTCTTATTTATTTATTTTTTAATCCTGGTTATTCCTACTACTCTCCTGTTTCAGATGAACTTTAAGATCATTTGGTTTCAATTTAAAAGTATATCATTGAGAATTTTAGTGGAACTGCATTAAATTGGGTTTACATTTGGAAAGAATTGCCAGGTTTGTCATTTTTAGTCTTCCCAGCCAGGAATATAGCTCTTTGCTCTTTTACTTCAAACTTTGTTTTGTAAAGTTTTCTTTATACCACATCAGCACTTTTCCTGTAAATTTTATCATTTTAAATTGTTTGTCACTTCCATGAGTGGGATATTTTCCCCATTATCCTTCCTGATTAGTTGTTGCTGAGATACAGCTTTTTGGTGAGGCTGGTAATAAGATAGTTGGAGCTTGGAGCTAGGAAGCTGAAATCTGCAAGATTCTTTGAGCAATATTTTCACATCTGTTTATGTCTTTGGTGGAACAGAGAAAATGTAAAGCCCTTTGTCCTCACAAGTCCCTGAAGACAATCTGCTCAGTAATGGGAGATAGTTGGGTAGCCTGAGATATTTTTAGGAGTGCCCTAATGCTGTAGTCCCCAATCCCCAGATTACCACTGGTACTGGTCTGTGGCCTGTTAGGAACCAGGTGCCCAGCATGAGGTGAGCAGCTGCAGGCAAGTGAAGTTTCATCTGTATTTACAGCTGCTCCCCATCGCTGGCATTACTGCATAAGCTCCACCTCATGTCCTATCAGTGGCGTCATTAGATTCTCATAAGAGTGTGAACCCTACTGTACACTGCGCATGCGAGGGATCTAGGTTGCACATTCCTTATGAGACTCTCATACCTGATGATCTGAGGTGGAGCTGAGGCGGTGATACTAGCGCTGGGGAGCAGCTGCAAATACAGATTATTATTAGCAGAGAGATTTGAGTACACAATAAATGTAATGGATCATCCCAAACAATCCCCAACTCTGGTCCATGGAAAAATTGTCTTCCATGAAACCAGTCCCTGTGCTAAAAAGGTTGGGGACCACTGCCCTAATGCCTGTTACCTCCTTTGTCAGATCAGTATAACTCTCAGGCATCGGAAACACAAGTGTGTATCAGTTGCTCACCAAATTGGTTTCACTTCTGCATTTTAAAGGGAGGTGTGGTTTTCAGTCCAATTGTTTTCTCTAAGCTGTTATCTGATCTGTAAAATGTTGCTAATACTTTACCTATTTCATGGAGCTGTTAAGAAGATTAACTTTGTTTTAAAGTACTTCGAAAACAGTTTCCATAGCCTTGTACTTATTTGAATGCAACCTCCTTGAACCTCAGTATCTTCATCTGTTAAATGAAGATAACCATGGAGAGCTCAGGGTTCCAGAACGCTTAGGATATAGTAGATGAAGAGAGATTTGTCTTCATTGTTATCATCATCATTCAATACTGAATCCAGTTGCCTTGAGCTGCAAGCAGAGCAAACATGATTCAAACTGGCTTAAACAATGAGGGAGGTTATTGGTTCATGAAACCTGTAGCTGAGGTTTGGGGGAGACCTCAGGGTCAGTTCAAACCAATGGCTCAATGTTGTCATCAAGAACTGAGAATCTTCCCCTCTTTCCATTCTGCCATCCTCAGGATAGCATCATTTCAAGCTTTAAGACTAGCGCTCTGTGCTTTCTAACTTATTCAGGAAAGAGAGAGGTTGAGAGCAAGAAACTGGCTTCCTGGGCTCTCTTAGAGGAGCCAGGAACCTCTGCAGCAAACATTCCCTGCCACCTAAATTAGCTCAGGTGCCCAGTTTTGAACCAATCACTATGGCAGGCTATTAGGAATTCTCTGATGGTTTACATCAAGGTTTCTTAACCTCTGCACTATTGATGTCTGGGCCTGGATAAGTCTTTGCTAGGGGGGCCATCCTGGGCATTATAGCACCCCTGGCCTCTACTTGCTAGGTGCCAGTAGTACCCATCCTCCAGTTGTAACCAAAAATGTCTCCAGCCATCCAAATGTCCCCTGGGGGGAATAATCACCATTGACTGAAAACCACTGGCTTAGACTCATCACATCTCACCTGTGGAACTGAGGGTGGGGGCAGTTCAGCACAAACACATTGCTGAGTGGGGGAGGAGCACAGGGCCACTGACAATCTGGGCAATACTAGGAAGTAGAGAAATAGATTCTTCATAGGCAAGACAAATGTCTACCATGATTCCTCCAGACCTGGAAAATCTCTGAATCTCTCATTGCAAGTGCCTCTGAGAGGAGCAGCACTTAAAAAATGAAGTCTTTTTGATGTCTAGGCCCAGGGGTGGAGGAAGGTAGAACGAATTTACAGCTGGCTACGAGCACAACAGAGAGGGCTTGGAGTGACGACAAGGGAGGCAGAGATGCTCAGGCACTGGGAAAAGAGAACAAAAGAAAGATTTGAGGTTGTCAGAAGCCAACTTCGATTGCGATCCTGAACATCCTTGGCCAACTGTGGTCAGGGTTGCAAATTGGGGCTTCATGGGCATTGACCAGTTGGCAGACATGTTTTATTTGGCCCACATGGTGTTGGACTGCACAGTTTTTGACTTGGTTGCAAGATTTAAAATCAAGAGATTTGACATGAAAATCTAGATTTCTGCTCTTGAAATACTGGAGAGGTCTTCCACTGCTGGGCCCTTCATTCTTGCAGATCGGGACTTGGTGGGTAACTCCTGTCTTCTTTAGGGCATGAACTTTCCAGCCCTCTATTGTTTTTCTGATGATGAGACTAGGAATCAGTTGCCTTTTTTTTTTTTTTTGAGACAGAGTCTTGCTCTATTGCCCGGTCTGGAGTGCCATGGTGTCAGCCTAGCTCACAGCAACCTCAAACTCCTGGACTCAAACAATCCTACTGCCTCAGCCTCCCGAGTAGCTGGGACTACAGGCATGCGCCACCATGCCTGGCTAATTTTTTCTATATATTTTTAGTTGGCCAATTAAATTCTTTATATTTTTAGTAGAGATGGGGTCTTGCTCTTGCTCGGGCTGGTCTTGAACTCCTGACCTCTAGTGATCTGCTCGGCCTCCCAGAGTGCTAGGATTACAGGCATGAGCCACCACGTGCCCGGCCTTAGTTGCCTTTGTCATTGCATGTATGCAGCTTTTTTTTTCCTACAGAACATTAGGAAGACAGCAATTTTTTGTACTCTTGCCTCTATCAAAGTTGGACAAATGAATTATAGACAAGAAAGTCCATGTCTCAAGGAAAACATAAGGAAGCATATTTCTCTGTGGCAGTAGGCTGTTCCCAGCCCAGCTCACTTCACTTAGTGAGTTACCCGCCTGGCCCCTGAAAGCTCCATAATTTAGCAAGATATATTTGCTAGAATAGACTAAACTGATATCAAAATAGACCTCATAATATAATGCCTCACACACAGTAGACGTTTATTCCTCCAACACTTAGCAGTTGACAGCAGGCTCTCCTCCAAGTGACGATCCAGGGACTCAGGGTTCTTCCTTCTTGGGGCTCCACCATCTCTAGGGCCACATCGTCCTGTGCATCCGGATGGCAGAGGGAGGAGTGTGTAGAGGGGGCAAAGCTGCCTCAACCTGAGGTAGTACATGCCACATGCACTCACCCCATTGGTGAGAACTAGTCACGTGGCCACATCAAACCACAAGGCAGGCTGGGAGATGCAGTCCCAGCTGGACCTGTGCATGCCAGCTACAACTCTGCTATTCTGGAAGGGCAGAACATATTTTGGTGGGCAGCAAGCCGTCTCTACCTTCCGTGCAAATGGAAGGGAAGGGAAACCTTTTCGGGCATTTCCATCACAGACCTCTTTGAGCCTCTCTTAGCCAGGTAGTAAATACGCGGGGGATTGTGGGACCTCACCAAATCCCATCCATTTCTTCCAGCTATGGAGAGTTTGGGGCAGATCATCTCCTTATGCAAGCTCATCTACAAAAAGTGTGAAGAGATGAAATACTGCCAGAAACAGTGTCAGCGTCTAGGGAACCGTGTCCACAACCTGCTCCTGGTTCTGGAGTTGCTCCAGGAGCAAGGAAATGGGAACCTGCTCCCTGAGGAGATAACGACCACCCTGGACCATTTGCACACTGCCCTGAAGGAGGCTGAGAAGCAGATAAAAGAGTTCAAAGATACAACCAAAATGTTGAAGTTTCTACTGTCAGGCAAAAACCAAATACTCTTCAATGCAGTGAATGAGAAGCTGAGTGATGCCTGTGAGGCGCTCTCGATGATGTTTCAGGTTTCCCAGTTTTCAAGTCTCAGCCGAAGAGCGTCCTGGCTACGAGAAGATCAAGAGGACGCAGAGGAAGACATGCAAGCTCTCCAAAGTCTGGAGAGTAAGTTGGACTTTGGGGGGAGGGCAGGGGTGCAGTTGGGGGCATTGTGGTCTCGCTGTAATTCACAGAGGAGCAGGAAGGATGAAGTTGGAGCAGCTGTGTATACTTGTAGCTCAGACTTAATATCCCTGGGCCCAGCTATGGGGGGGCCGGTGCAATTTGGGCAAGCCAGTGTGGGAGAGGGGAGAAGACACTGACGTGTCTCTTTTGACTCTGCATTCTCTGTTTGATGCGATACCTGGGATTCTAGAAGCTCCTTCCAGCCTTAGTTTTCCCAGGACCCTCAGTTAAGCTGTAAACTGTCCAGGAGGAAGAATTAACTAAGAAACATAAATTGTGTACAGTATGCCCGGCACTGTTGTAAGTGTTAGGGATGCAGCAGCGCACAGCAAAACAGACAAGATCTCTGCCCTTGTGGAGTGTCTGTTGATAGAGAGTTGAGCAAATTGTTTTATCTAAGGGTGATGAAGGCCGGGCGAGGTGGCTCACTCCTGTAATCCGAGCATTCTGGGAGGCCGAGGCGGGTGGATCGCTCAAGGTCAGGAGTTCGAAACCAGCCTGAGCAAGAGCGAGACCCCGTCTCTGCTATAAATATAAAGAAATTAATTGGCCAATTAAAAATACATAGAAAAAATTAGCCGGGCATGGTGGCACATGCCTGTAGTCCCAGCTACTCGGGAGGCTGAGGCAGAAGGATTCCTTGAGCCCAGGAGTTTGAGGTTGCTGTGAGCTAGGCTGACGCCATGGCACTCACTCTAGCCTTGGCAACAAAGCGAAACTCTATCTCAAGAAAAAAGAAAACAAAGCAGATCATATTGCCAAGCCTGACATGAAGAGACAGTATGCCCACTGTAAGGCTAGGGCAAGGATGTGGACATAGGATATACCACCTGGTGAGGGCTTGGGGTCAATAACTCAACCTCCCCCCAGTGCCGGAATGAAAGCGTGAGCCCAGTTAGGAGACTATATTAGAGGCTAAGTAAATTATGTCAGTGGTTTGAACTCGGGTGGCCCTAGTTGGATTGTGTGGCAAAGCCCTAACGGGAAGAGGCATGGGCTAGGTTGGAGATGGGGGAAGGAAGCAGAGCCTGAGCCACCAGAAGAGGGAAGAGAGGGAAAGATGGAAACCAGTGTGGCCTTGTTACACTTTGGCAGATCCTGGTGATATGAATTCAAACCCTTCCCTCTTGTAAGGATTGTGGGTGGAGACAGAGGGAATGAGGAAAGGGTGGGGCACACGTGGATGAACCTCCTGGGTACAGTGAACAGCCAGCCACTCAGCATCAATCATGAGGAAACAAGTTTTATTTCTCATTCGGACAAAGTCCAGGACATCTCCCAGGTGACTGGGTGACTGTTCTCTTTCCAGAATACTTTCAATAGTATGGCACTTTCATGGTGACACAAACTTCCCTCGTTCCCAAAATGGCCAGGCTGGAACCTCGAGAAGAGTCAATGAAATGCTTCCTCAGGGAAGTGACAGACGTCTCTTTCACTTTGTTTTTGGCCAAAGCAAGTCACACGGCCATGCTTTAAGGCTTTCCTATGTGCTTAGAAGTAGAGAGCTGAATATTGGCGAGCAGCAGTCCTACTACAATGAATATGAGAGGTCAAAATGGTATCTCAGTGGTTTTAATTAGCATTCTGGTTTTGATTAGCATGTGGTTTTAATTAGCATTTCTATTTTTGAGTATTTGCTGCCCTTTTTTTTCCTGCAGAAACTAAAAATAAAGAAGCTTCAATGAAGCAGGTGGAAAGCACCATGAAAGAAAGAAATGGGCCAGGTAAGGTGGCTCACACCTATAATCCTAGCACTCTGGGAGGCCAAGGCAGGAGGATCGCTCAAGGTCAGGAGTTCGAAACCAGCCTGAGTAAGAGTGAGGCCCCCTGCCTCTCCTAAAAAATAGAAATAAATTAATTGGCCATCTAAAAATATGTATAAAAAAATTAGTTGGGCATGGTGGCGCATGTCTGTAGTCCCAGCTACTTGGGAGGCTAAGGCAGAAGGATTGCTTAACCCAGGAGTTTGAGGTTGCTGTGAGCTAGGCTGACGCCACGGCACTCACTCTAGCCCGGGCAACAGAGTGAGACTCTGTCTCAAAAAAAAAACAAACAAAGGAAGCCTTCAGGCAGTGTAAGTTATCAGATGCCCTACTGCTTCCATTGGCCCCCAAACCAGAAGTCATCAGTTTACTGGAACCCCAGCCTCCCCCTGCCCCTGCCCTTGTCATTTTCTGTGCTTGATGGCGGGAAGCAGCCCACAGGTTTGGAGATGCATTCACAGCTAGCCTAGGCTTCCATCTACATGGTGGCATTTGAAGGGGGCTTCTCAACCACTAAGGTATCTTCTAGCACCTGTCAAAATGCTAAAAACTTCTCCTATGAATAGCATCAAAGCTTCAATTCAGGCCGGGTGGCTCACGCCTGTAATCCTAGCACTCTGGGAAGCTGAGATAGGTGGATCGCTCAAGGTCAGGAGTTCGAAACCAGCCTGAGCAAGAGCAAGACCCCGTCTCTACTAAAAATAGAAAGATATTAATTGGCCAACTAAAAATATATATATAAAAATTAGCTGGGCATGATGGCGCATGCCTGTAGTCCCAGCTACTTGGGAAGCTGAGGCAGGAGGATTGCTTGAGCCCAGGAGTCTGAGGTCGCTGTGAACTAGGCTGACACCACAGCACTCTATCCAGGGCAACAGAGCAAGACTCTGTCTCAAAAATAAATAAATTAATTAAATAAAGCTTCAATTCACTTGCTGAATTTCCAAGAAGAAATTCAAATCAAACTTAAAGGTTACTGCCTTCCAGGAGCTCCCAGCCATGGGTAGAGGAGGGGAGAGAAAGGACAGACATTGAACACACAACAGCAGTGAAGTTACTGAGCTTCACCTTCGTCCCTAACTACGAGATGTGAAATGGCGAGACCAGATGCTGGGGCTCAGGGGCCAAGCTGCGTGACAGCAGGAGTAGACAGAACTCTGGGAGGAGAGTGAGAGGTCTGGGTGGGGGTTAAGGCTGGAGAAATGGGCAGGGTTTGGAGAGGAGGGAAGGGGTATGCAGGACACAGCTGTGCCTCTATGGGTCACTCAGAGGCATTAGAACCTCTCCCCTGGGCTGAGTCAGCCAGAGGCTCCAGCAAGGGCCAGCTCTGGTTCATGGTAAAGAGCTTCCCACTCACATGTTACAAAGATGTCACTTCCCTGAGGACCCTTTCCACAGCTCATTTACTCTCTATCTTCTTCTGTCCTGGGGCTGAGGTCAGACCCACCACCAAAGCCCACGCTTAAGATCCCACTGGAAGAAATCAAGGAGATTAAGAAGGAGGAGCTTTCAGAGTCCCCATGGATTCTGCTAAAGCAAGATGATTTCAGCACACTTTATAAAGGAGAATATCACAAATCTGAAGTGTCCATAAAAGTATTCAACAAACCCCAGGCCAAAAGCATTGGGTAAGTCATTCAGTATGGTTCTCTCTGTTGCTCCCCAAGGAGAGAGGCATATTGTCATCACTTTTAGATGGGGAAACCTGGGCCCCGGGGTCAAATGGGGTCCAATGACTTGCCCTCTATTATTAAAGAGCAGAATCTTAACTTAAACACGCCTGTCTACCTTCATTCTAGAGCCTTCTCTCCTTGATTCATATGTTTATGTATTTTTAAAACTTTGTTCCCTTTCAATCATGTTCCTCAGTTTCCCATTCCCTCCACAGACAATAATTCTGGTGGGCTTTGTTTGTATGTACTCCTGTAGAATGTATGTATGCATTTTTAATTTTCACAACTGGTAGTGTTATATGTCTGTTGCCTACTTTCCTTACTCTTTTCATTTAGCATCGTGGAACATGTTCTGTACCTGGAGTCCTTCCCTTCTGTTTGCTATCCATGGCGTAGATCCACATTTTGCCTATTTTTTCTGATGATGGAACCTGGTCTGCTTCCAGCTTTTTCCCCTGCCAAAAATAATGTCACCTAAGTACCCCTTTATGGACCTGTATGAGAATTCTTTGGGATATAGCACCAGGAGGGAATTGATGGATAATAGGGTATGTATGTATTAAGTTAACTAAGAACTAGTGGGCAATTCCTCAGAACGGAGTGTATACGCCTACACTTGCTCCAGCAATGCATGAGAGCTCCTGTATCACACATGTCTACCTACGTTTGGTGTTATCCAGTTTTTTGTTTGTTTGTTTGTTTGGAGACAGAGCCTTACTCTGTTGTCCCAGATAGAGTGCCGTGGTGTCAGGCTAGCTCACAGCAACCTCAAACTCTTGGGCTCAAGCAATCCTCCTGCTTCAGCCTCCCAAGTAGCTGAGACTACAGGCATGCATTGCCACATCTGGCTAATTTTTTCTATTTTCAGTGGCCCGGCTAATTTCTTTCTATTTTTAGTAGAGACAGGGTCTCACTTTTGCTAAGGCTGGTCTGTAACTGCTAACTTCAAGCAATCCTCCAGCCTTGGCCTCCCAGAGTGCTGGGATTTACAGGTGTGAGCCACCACACCCGGCCTATTTGTATGTGTCTTAGTTATTTGGGTTTCCTTTTCTGTAAATTGCCTGTTCATATCCTCTGCCCTTTTTTCTGTCATGGCTGCTGTTTTTGTCTTGTCAGTTTGCAGAAGATCTTTGTATATCATGGACATTAATCACTTGTCAGCTTTAGATATTACAAACTTTGTCCGTGATATCCAACAGCAAACGGGCATCTTTTAAATGTTGATGTAATCAAATCCTTCAAAACTTTACCTTATTATTTGTGCTCTTGAAGTGCCCTTCCCCACCCCTAGATCTTAAAGGCATTCTGTATTTTTTTTCTCTTAACTTCACAGTTTCTTTTTCCATATTTAGGCTCTAATCCTCCTGGGATCCACCTTTCTGTATAATATTATGTAGGGTCTAGTTTTATTTCTGTCCACATAATGAGTCCATTTTCTCTACACCATCTATTTGGTGATCTGTCCTTTCCCCATTGCTTTGTGGTACCACATTTATTGTATATTAAGTTTCTATATAGACATGGATCTAACTCTTATCTCTCTAATCTGTTCCACTGGTCAATTTGTCTGTCTTTGCACCAATAACACACTGTTATTGTTTTATTCATTATGACTTTATATTATAGTAAGTCTCAGTATCTGGTAAAGCAACTCCCTCTTCTTGATTCTTCTTTTTCAAGTTGAGTTAGCTAAATAAATATCAGAAAAAGTTTTCTCACTTTCCTCAAAATACACAATAAAATTTTGATTGAGATTGTATTTCTTTTTTTTCTTTTTTTTTGAGACAGAGTCTCCCTCTGTTGCCTGGGCTAGAGTGCCGTGGCATCAGCCTAGCTCACAGCAACCTCAAACTCCTGAGCTCAAGCGATCCTCCTGCCTCAGTCTGCCAGAGTGCTAGGATTACAGGTGTGAGCCACCATGCCTGGCCTGTATGTTTTGTTTTGTTTTTTATTGAGACAAAGTCTGGCTCTGTTGCCTGGGCTAGAGTGCCATGGCATCAGCTAGCTTACAGCAACCTCAAACTCCTGGGCTCAAGCGATCCTTCTGCCTCAGCCTTCTGAGTAGCTGGGACTACAGGCGTGTGCCACAAAGCCCAGCTAATTTTTTCTATATATTTTTAGTTGTCCAGTTAATTTCTTTCTATTTTTAGTAGAGATGGGGTCTTGCTTACTTGTTCAGGCTGATCTCGAACTCCTGGGCTCAAATGATCTGCCCACCTCAGCCTCCCAGAGTGTTAGGATTACAGGTGTGAGCCACCTCACCTGGCCGAGATTGTATTTTTAACGGCTTTTATTGAGATATATTTTATGTACCATAGAATTCACCCATTTAAAGTGTACAAGATAGTGGCTTTAAGTATATTTATAGAGTGTATGATTATCACCCCAATCTAATTTTATAGAACATTTTCATCATGCCTCCCAAAAACCCAATACCCATTAACAGGCATTCCCCATTCATCCCCATCCCCACCACCTCTAGCCCTAGGCAACCACTAATCTACTTTCTGTCTTTATAGAGTTATCTTTTCTGGATATTTACTATAAATGGATAGTATAATATACACTATGAGGCCTATTGTGTCTGGTTTCTTTCACTGAGCATGAAATGTTCATGTATGTTATAGCATGTATCGATACTAGCAAGCCCCGTTACTATCTCACAGACCCTTAGGGACAAATTCTGCTGCCATGTACATCCAAAGGGTTCCACATGCTGCCATCAGTAGTTGAGCTTGTCACAACACTAGTTCTCTTCTGCTGACAATACCCACCCCCCCACACACAGTCACTACACTAAACGTTCCATTTCTGAAATCCTAATTTCCCCTTTTATCCTCGTAGGGCAGTGAGGGACACTTTCAATAATGAGATCAAAACCATGAAGAAATTTGATTCTCTCCACGTCCTGCGTATATTTGGGATTTGCATTGATGAAACAGGTAAGAGGTGCTCCTGGGGTTGATAAAGCTTTTGATGACCTGGAATATAACCTTCTGTGTTACAAAATGTGTTGCATTTTTTAAGAACAACAGAAAGAGTGGAGTCGACACAGTTTGATTACTATCAATGTTAATTTTCTTTGCATCCCAAGATGCGCGTTCCCATCTTCTTTCAAGAGAGCAGGGCTGAAGCCTAAGAGTTGGTTTGCACTAATGTGGCCACTTTCCCTTTCTGTCCACTGGGAACCAAAGGGGTGTGTGTTCAGAGCCCAGCCAGGGTGAGGGGTGCATTGTGTTGCTATTTAATATAAAACATAAAGCTGCCTGGCCCAAACAAGGAAGACATCCTTGGTCATCATTAGCATAGACCAAATATAAAAACAAAATTCAAGTTGCCCCTTTACTAAGATCCTCATGTGTCATTTTCTTTATTTTTTAATGTGGCTGCATGTTCTCTCATAGCATGACCTCTCTTGCTGGTCATGTATTGCTGCTCTTGCCTAGAGAGAGGACAGAGCAACTCCCATCTTATCTCCTTTGGAAGTTTCTCCACAGCCTCAGGCCAACCTGATTTCAGAGCATAGAATCCCAGCCTACAGGCAAACTTTCAGTGACCTGTGTTCTCCTGGGCAAGAGTGGAGGTGGCTGACTCACTCACTGGGCATCAGTTTTGCATCTCAGGCCCAGGAACTGAGACTTGACTTCTTATCTTAGTCTCCCTTGACCACCCCTGCCATCTGTGCACCATTCATTCTTTTTTTTTTTTTTGAGACAGAGTCTCGCTTTGTTGCCCAGGCTAGAGTGAGTGCCATGGCATCAGCCTAGCTCACAGCAACCTCAAACTCCTGGGCTCAAGCAATCCTCCTGCCTCAGCCTCCCGAGTAGCTGGGACTATAGGCATGCACCACCATGCCCGGCTAATTTTTTCTATATATATATTAGTTGGCCAATTAATTTCTATTTATAGTAGAGACGGGGTCTCACTCTTGCTCAGGCTGGTTTCGAACTCCTGACCTCAAGCAATCCGCCCGCCTCGACCTCCCAGAGAGCTAGGATTACAGGCATGGGCCACCGTGCCTGGCCCACCATTCATTCTTTCTACACATCTGTGCTAAACTCCTTGTGAGGCTGGGTGTGGTGGCTCACGCCTGTAATCCTAGCACTCTGGGAGGCCGAGGCAGGTGTATCAGTTGAGCTCAGGAGTTTGAGACCAGCCTGATCAAGAGCAAGACCCCGTCTCTACTAAAAAACAGAAATAAATTGGCTGGACAACTAAAAAATATATATATGGAAAAAATTAGCTGAGCATTGTGGCACATGCCTGTAGTCCCAGCTACTTGGGAGGCTGAGGCAGAAGGATTGCCTGAGCCCAGGAGTTCGAGATTGCTGTGAGCTAGGCTGACACCACAGCACTCTAGCCAGGGAAACAGAGTGAGACTCTGTCTCAAAAAAAAAAAAAAAAGCTAAGCTCCTTGTGAGCACCGTATAAACACAATAAACACATTTCCTGCCCTCTTGGGGCTTATACTTAAGTGAGGAGGATGTTACTAAAATAAATGTAGAATTGCAACATGCCAAATACCGAAGAAGACAGTGGGAGTTCTAGGAGTGTTTGGCCTTTTCAAGGAGACGAGGGAGCAAACTATGTGGCATGGGGCTGGAGAGTTGGGGGAGAAATGGGACTCACAGCAGAGCCAAGTCTATCTCTGGGCAGAGATGGGGAGAGGCGGGATGCGGACAGGTGGAGCTCTGAGTGGGGCTGGGTCTTCATAGCATCTGCCTCCTTTTCCTTCAGTGACTCTGCCTCAATTCTCCATCATCATGGAGTACTGTGAACATGGGACCCTGAGGGAGCTGTTGGATAAAGAAAAGGACCTCTCTTTCAGTGATCGTGTCAAGCTAGGCCTGGGGGCCGCCAAGGGCTTGTTCAGGTACCAGATGGGGGTGAAGGGCGCCAAGAAGGGCTGGGTGAATCTGTCTATACTACTGATAATCCCAGAGTTGATGAGAGTACAGGCCAGCACAGCACAGGGAGCAATGACAGCCTCCCTTCCATACATTGTTTTACTATTTACTCTGATTATACACAGGAGAGGGGAAGGAGGCTAAGCCAGTGAACAAGCGCCTACAGAATTGAAGGCTGAATTTAATATCCATGCCATTCTTGTAGAGTTGGACAGGCCCTAATCTTAACAGTTGCCAGATTTAACAAATAAAATACAATATACCCAGATAATTTGAATATTAGATAAGTGGCAAATAATTTTTAATATAAATCTATCCTAAATTTTCCATAGGACATACACTAAATTTCAGATATACATAATTTCAGACAAGCAATTTTTTTTTTAGGGTAACTATATCCCATGCAATTTGGGGGGCATACTTATACTAAAAAAATTATTCATTGCTTATCTGAAACTCACACATAACAGAGTGTCCTTTGTTTTATTTGGCAACTTTACCCAAAGGCAGAATTCTCTCAGGCAGAATCTATGGTTCCATTAGCTCAAGGGAAGCTAACCACTTGCAGGGTTTTCACCAAAGCCACAAAGCCACCAGTATTATTATTTTTTTTTATTTTTTTTTTTTAGCTCTAGAATTACCACAGTTATCCAAGTAACACCAGTATTATTTACTATAATTTTTCTTTAAATTGACTCACTTTTAAAAATCTAAAGAAAGTTTTTAAAGGCTCATGCCTATAATCCTAACCTCCTCTGCTAAGGGAGGAGGATTGCTTGAGGTCAGGAGTTCGAGACCAGCCTGAGCAAAAGTGAGACCCCGTCTTTACCAAAAATAGAAAAAAAATTAGCTGGGTGTGGTGGTGCATGCCTATAGTCCCAGCTGCTTGGGAGGCTGAGGCAGGAGGATTGCTTGAACCCAGGAATTGGAGGTTGCAGTGAGCTATGATGACACCACTGGAGACAGGAGACAGATTGTAGTGATCTTCCTGTGCTAGGATTACAGGCGTGAGCCACACCCGGCCACCACACCCGGCCCTTATTCTGTTTTGACCAGAAGTGTCCTAAGCATGGTCCAGACATCCAGCCGTGCCTCTGAGCATTTTGGTCTGCCCAGCACTTCCCAGGGAAAGACCACAGTGGCACCTTTATTCTTCTCTAGCTAAGGTGGCCCCTAGTGCCTGCCAGATTGCACACACTCCACAAGGGCCGTCACACCCACTTGTACAATGCATCTTAGCTTTGCTACATACTCCCAGCATGCAGCTGTCAAACCTTGCCTCTGCATCCCACTTTTCCCGGTGAGGAAGGCATGGGACTGACCAGCCTCATTATCCCAGTGATGACTGTCAAGCCGCCCAGGAAAGTCTGTGCAGAGGTCATTAATGCTCCCCACCTTTGTTCGTGTCAGGCTACACCATTCGGAAAACCCTACACTCCATAGAAAAATCAGCAGCTCGAGCTTCCTGGTAAGCGCAGGCTACATAGTAAAGGTGAGTGCATTTCAAGGGGCTCTTCAGGTCAAACCTGTATGATTGGTGCTGGGAGAGGGATACAAGTGTCTCAGTAAGGCTGTGCCTGCTTGTTTCTCGCCTCGATTTTAGAACTGAGCTCAACTCTTCCCCTGTCCTTAAAGCTTTCTGTGTGTCCACTGCAAGACAGAGCCAATCCTTGCCTCCTGTTCTGGTGCCTGCCTTCCCTCATCACCCCCTTAGCAGGGATGGGCTAAGAGTCATTTCCCCTTAGATGCCTGAACACCATTCCTGTGTCCCTAGAACACCTACCAGGGGATCTTCTTAGGTCTGACTAGGGATTCAGACTCACGGGACTGCTATAGGCCACACTTGGCATTCAGAGTCACTTAGAAAGGCACCAGCAGAAAACACAGATGCCAGCTGCACCAAAGCCTTCTCTCCAGTGGGAGTCCCCACGATCATCCAGGAGATACTCTCTTTGTCCCCACCCCAGGTGCTAGAGAAAGAGGCTCCTATCAGCTGGGTGGGCCACCCGGGCTTAGAAGCCCCATGACCTGCAGGAGTCGATGTCGCTTGTAACAACTCTGCAGGCACGCCTTCCAGTGTTCCTGCAAGGGACACGTCAGTAAGAGTTGCCGCAAAGCCCAGCATCCCTATCAGCTATTTACTGTATTGTCCCCTTACCCAACCTGTCCCCATCCAGAAGCAATTCACCAATCAGCAGTCATTTTTATCATCAGCAATGTTACTAAGGAGCATAGGTGACAGTATACCTTTATCAGGTTTCCAGGGGAACAGAGCTAAAAAGTTAACTGGAAATCAGATTTCCATGCAGAAGAGGAAAGGGTTTTGTGAACTTGACATCCACAATTGTCAAATGCCAAAAACAAAGAATGTTTTCTTTGTCATCCATAGATGGTTTCCTTTCTTCCAGTCTTATGAGTGTCAGGGATGGCCCTCAATGAACAGAAGACAGGTCTTTTTTGCTTCAGATGCTTTCCCTCCCAATGGTGCTATAAGTACTCCCAAAGTACTGTGTCTACACTGCTTTCATGACCCTCATCCTGCCTGACTATAATGTGGGCTATGCCACCGTTCATCCCTGGTATTTGCTATGGTTCCTCGTGTCAGAGAATGTCGGTGCTCGGGAAACGTGAGTGAATGAATGAATGCAAGGGGGATAAGCCACCTCAGTGTCTTATCCTTTTCCTGACCTTGCCCCTACATTTGGGTACCTGGGTGTGTTTGGAGCTGGCAGCCTTCTGCACAGTGACGGTGCCAGTGGCACATGTGTATGGAGCAGGAACATGCTCTAGGGTCAGATAGAACAGAGGAGATACCTCCACGTCATTTTTTCATCTGCTTCTAGGAGAAAACGAGTCATGTGGTGGCTCTTTGCACCCCTTTCCACTGTCACTGAGTGCAGTTCAGTCCTCGACTGAGAAACCCCTGTGTCTAACACAGTAACACTAGCAACAATTGCAACCTGCCAAGTCTTGCAGGTGCTTAATAACCATTATCTCAAGTAAGCGTCACTGCCATCGCCCCATTTTATTTTATTTTATTTTTATTTTTATTTTTTTCATCACCCCATTTTATAGAGAAGAAATCTCCCTTTGTGTTTCTCTCAATCACTGCACTATGACAAGTTGAACCCATAATGTTAACCAATAGAGTAGCCACAGAGATGGAAGACAGTATTGGAAACAAATTTCAATTCCCTGGCAATTGTGTGTAGCACTCACTGCTACTCTCCACCCCCCGACCCAAGATCTTGCTGTTTCTTTCTGTCTCTAAGTCACCTCTCTTTCTAGCTTGCAGATTTTGAGTTGAGCAAAACAAGGACTTCTATCAGTCGGGAAACTAAGAGAAAAAAGGCAGAGAGAGTCATTTCAGCAGCGTATTACTCACCTCAGAGGCTGGAATATGTGTTTGATAGTTATGACATAAAAGCTGAAATATACAGGTATGTTCATATGCTCGTGCAGATTCTAACTCGGATGAGTAGGCCAGAGAAGCCTAAGTCAAACTCCCCCTCCAAGGACCATCTCAACTCTGTTGAACAAATTTGGGTGGGAATCAGAAGATTCACTGACTTTTCTGGAAATGGCTAGAGGAGCATGGGAAAAGGGAATGGTTGCTCAGTTTCTTGGTTTTCTTTTAGCTTTGGAATCGTCCTGTGGGAAATCGTCACTGGCAAGATCCCGTTTGAAGGTGAAGAATGTGAAGACTGGCTCTGCTGGTGCTGAGTTTGGGTCCCCTTCCAATAAACTAGAAATTCCCCATCAGTGCTGTCCTAGGCACTTTGCTCTCCAATATGGGAACCGCTGGGCTGGTCAGTGGAATCATTAGACGCTCTTGTCATTTCCATACTCAAAGTCCCTGCTTCTGGTGCCAGCCATCAGCATCCAGTGAGATGTGCAAATCCCCAGAGCAATTTTTTAAGGATAACATCCTGTCATTTCCACGCTAGGCTGCGATTCTAAGACAATCCGCCAGTTGGTGTTTGAGAACCGGCAGCTGGAGCCACTGGGTGACAATTGCCTTAAAGAGCTGCAGAAGATCATTGATGAGTGCCGGGCCTATGAGCCTTCCGCGCGGCCCTCCATGTCTGGTAGGGTTCCTTCTTGTGTAAACAGCGTGTGCTACACACTTACTTCACGTTAGTGAAATATTTCCTTTTCACAAGCTCCATGGCAGTAGTTTACACCAAACGTGATTCTGCCCTTCAGGAGACATTTGGCAATGTCTAAAGACATTTTTGATTGTCACAAATATGAGAAGATAGAATGAGGCATGCTACTGGCATTTAGTGGATAAAGGACAGGGATGGTACTCAGCATCCTGATGGTACGATGCATAGGACAGTCACTCACCACAAAGAATTATCCGGCCCAAATGTTGATAATGCAGGGTTTTAGATACTCTGCCCTAACGCCATTGTTTAATCTATAGTGCTTAGGAAAGGTAGATTATTTTTCTCTAGCCTATTTCCTTCCTTCCTTTTTGTCTATATCTATTTTTCTTTCTTTTTCTTAATTTTTTTTTTTTTTTTGAGACAGAGTCTCACTCTGTTGCCTGGGCTAGAGTGCTGTGGCATCAGCCTACCTCACAGCAACCTCAAACTCCTGGGCTCTCAAGCAATCCTCCTGCCTCAGCCTCCTAAGTAGCTGAGACTACAGGCATGCGCCACCATGCCTGGCTAATTTTTTCTATATATTTTTAGTTGTCCAGCTAATTTCTTTCTAATTTTAGTAGAGACGGTGTCTTGCTCTTGCTCAAGCTGGTCACAAACTCCTGAGGTCAAACGATCCGCCCGCCTCAGCTTCCCAGAGTGCTAGGATTACAGGCGTGAGCCACCGCGCCCGGCCTTAATTTTTTATTTATTTGTTTTTTTGCCATAAGAAAATTCAGAACAGTTTTTTTTTAAGAGATGGGGTCTTGCTATGTTGTCCAGGCTGGGGTGCAGTTTTTGCATAGCACACTGCAGCCTCAAACTCCTGGGCTCAAGCAGTGCTTTTGCTTCAGCCTCCCGAGTAGCCAGGATGACAGGCATGCACCACAGCACCAGGCTCTATCTATCTTTCTTTTTGCCTTCCTATCTTTCTTTTTCCTTCCTTCCTTCCCTCCCTCCCTGTCTGCCTTCCTTCCTTCCTTTTTTCAGCATCCTTGGATCATTTCCTTGACTCAGTCTCTTATCTCACCATGTCATCAGCTGCTTCTCTATAGCTTCCTTATAGTGTCTCCTTCCCTGGAAGTAAGTCCCTGTCCTACTCTAGCTCCAGATCTCCCAGACTTTCCACAAAGCCCAAACAAAAGAGAGGCGTTCACATGCAGCATCCCTGGATTGGGGAAGTGTTTCCACTGAAGTTGCTACAAAGTTCAAAGACACAAAATGATTTTTTCTTATCTTAATCGTGATAGGGGTCATACTACAGCAGTGTATAAAATATACATGTTCAGTTAAAATATCAAAGTAAAAGAATATCACAAAGCCGCACTTAATTAAGAAATAGAACATTGCCACTTGCTCAGAGCTTCCTGAAGAATTGGCCTTTGGTGTAGATGAGAAGCTGACAATGCTTTATATAGTGTCTTTCTCTCCTTCAAACCCTTTTGTCTCCTTCCTCCCTCTTCTAGCCTCCCTTACACCTCAGGGTCCTCTTGGTTTTAGAGAACCTAATACTAGAGACTAATTCACACTAAGATACAAGTTTGTCCCTCCTATGAGGTTTTAAAAGTAAATCAAGTTGGCCGGGCGCGGTGGCTCACGCCTGTAATCCTAGCTCTTGGGAGGCCGAGGCGGGCGGATTGCTCAAGGTCAGGAGTTCAAAACCAGCCTGAGCAAGAGCGAGACCCCGTCTCTACTATAAATAGAAAGAAATTAATTGGCCAACTGATATATATATAAAAAAATTAGCTGGGCATGGTGGCGCATGCCTGTAGTCCCAGCTACTCGGGAGGCTGGGACCGGCACTCACTCTAGCCTGGAAAACAAAGCGAGACTCTGTCTCAAAAAAAAAAAAAAAAAGTAAATCAAGTAAAAGAACTTCACATCACAAAGACATGTATGCAGATGGTAGTTTAGGCACCAGCCAGACCAGGGGGAATGCAGTTTCTGCCCTATTGTGTAGTTCAGAAACACCTTTATGTTTCTAGCTTGGCTCTCAACTCCCTGTGCTTATCTAAATTTCTGTTCCTTCATCCACAGAAATCGTAGACAAACTGTCTGCCATTACTGTGTAGCATATCAAAACCTGAACCAAAGAGTCCTTGGACAAGAAGCTGGGAGAGGCATGCACCAGACGTCTCTCTCATATCCTTTGGCATCAAGTTATTTATGGTTGCTGGAGGGCAGCACTTCTCATTTACAATTTCTGTCATAGAGGATGCATCCTACTCCAAATGTTATTTTTAAAAATATACTTCTGATAGTAATTTTGATAGATGGTTTGCAAAAATGTATCTCTGTGTCCATACCTCTTGGCAATGTAACTTTAAAGCTCCTTACATCAAGAAGTGGAGTCTGTTTCCCCACCATTTGAATCTGGGCTGGCATTGTGACTTGATTTGGTCCATAGAATGTGGAAGAAGTGATGGTGTGCCATTTCCAAGCCTAGGCTTAAAGAGGCCTTATAAATGTCTAGTCTCTTTCTTGGAGCCCTACCCAGCCATGAACAAGTTGGACTAGAATGCTGGAGGATGAGAGACCACATGGAACAAATAGAAACAAGCTGTCCTAGCTGAGGTCACACTAGACCAGCCAACCTGGCAGCTGACCTGGTTACATGAGTGATCCCAGTCAAGACCAGAAGAACCACCCAGCTGAGCCCAGCCCAAATTGCCCATTCATAAAATCATGAACTAAATAAATTTTTGTTGTTGTAAACCACCAAGTTGTGGAGTGATTTGATACACAACAGTAGTAACTGAGCAGACACTGTTCAGTACTTTTTCTTGCTCATTGAATTAAATACAAACTCTCTACTAGGATACGCATAGCTTTATGTCTCTGACTCCAACCTGACTTTCCATGTAAGGTCCCAGAGTTCTGTCCTATCAGAGATTGCAAACTCTAATGTCTATAGGGCCTAGGAGGGAACCTAAATGAGTGAGTTGAGCCTGAAGGAGACTTCAGTAAGCAGATAACCTCTAAGAAGAATAGCCTCTGCTCAGCTGTTCTATTTTATTTTATTGTGTAGAATGGGATCCCAGTGTTTCCAGAGATTTCTATTTTGTGAAAAGAAGCTAGAAATTTGGATTTTTCTTTGAGTTTTCCCTATTCATTCATTCATTCATTTATTCATTTATGACAGGGTCTTGAGACATTGCCCAAGCTGGTCTTCAACTTCTGGGCTCAAGTCTGCCTATCACCTCAGCCTCCTGAGTAGCCAGGATTACAGGTGTGCCATTGTGCCCAGCTCCCTGGTTTTAAAGGTTGGCATCTCATCAGCAATTGTTTTAATGCTGATAAGACAAACAAAATATGTTAGTATAGGAGCTGCCAGATTTTAATCCCTACCAGACTTAAACACATGTTTCTGGCATGTGGCACATTAGTTCTAAATTGTTTATACATTTGCTCATAGTGTTTGCTTTGCCTAGGATATACTAACTCCTACCTCTACAGGTTGCATTTTTTTTCCAGAACTCTTCTCAAATTATTCAATAGCAAATGTGCTAGGTATTGTTCTAATCACTGAGGAGACAGCAATAAACAAAATATGTTTGGACCTTATATTCTATTAATCATCTCTGATGAATAACATGATGGTTGATTTCTATTTATCTTTTACTTATCCTTGATTTCTTTTTTTTAACCTAAAACATATTTTTTTTGGTAAATAAAAAAATGCAGAAGAATATACATTGACAGGTTGAACATTTGACAGTTCTTTTCTAGACTTTATTGTTATTACTATGTTCATCTTTAAAATCATTTGTTCTTTTTACTGTATAAGTTACAATGAAGATTCTCCCCTGCAGAGGAAGCCTTTACACTCTGGCAGACCCTCAGAAAGAAGTGGATTTACTGTGAAACTAATAAAGCTTAATCTTTAGGCCCTCTCACTTGTGCAGGATGCCTTTCAGGAGCCCTGTACCTAATTTTTTCCCAGTACTTATTTATGAGAATTTTCAAATACACAGAAAAGTCATTAAAATTGTACTCTGAACAACCATATACCCGCCACCTAAATTCTACAACTAACAATTTACTATATTTGTTTTATCACATACCTATCTATCTATGCCTCTTTCTGTCCATTAATTCATCCTAATTTTTTACACATTTAAAATAAAATTACAAACATCAGTACACTTCATCCCTGAACACTTCAGCATTTAAACCATTAACTGGAGTCAATTTCCTTATGGTTTTGTTTTTTTTAAGGGGGGTGGAGAGGTAAATTTTCCATGTTGTAAAAAGCACTAATCTTATACCATTTGATGAGTTTTGACAAATGCATGCATATGAGTAATCCAAATTCTTATGAAGATAATGAACATTGTCATCACACCAGAAAGTTCTGTTATGCCCAATTAATCTTTCTCCTCACTCCTTTACAATGCTGTTTTTTATCGTCTTTTTAAGGTATAATTGATACATCGTAAACTGTATTTAAAGTATGTGATTTGGTAAGTTTTGATATATGTATACACCCATGAAACCATAACCACAATCAAGATAATGAACATATCCATCAACCCCAAAATTTCCTCAGGCCCATTTATAGTCATTCTCTTCCTCTTCCTCCTCCCTCTAAGCAATCAGTGACCTGCTTTCTTTTTTCTTTTCTTTTTTAATAACCATGGCCTGACGATGACCTGCTTTCTGTCTCTAGAGATTAGCTTGCATTGTAAAGTTTTATAAAAATAAAATCATATGGTATATAAAACATTTGCCTTTTTTTATTCAGTATATAATTGTTTTGAGATTCATCCATGTAATTGCATATATTCATAATTTATTCATTTTTAATGTTGAAAAGCATTCCAATGTATGGATTTAATATAATTTGTCCATTAACCTCTTGAATGGACATTTGAATTGTTTATAATTTTTGACTTTTTTTTTTTTGAGACAGAATCTCACTCTGTTCCCGGGGCTAGAGTGCCCTGGAGCATCAGCCTAGCTCACAGCAACCTCAAACTCCTGGGCTCAAGCGATCCTTCTGTCTCAGCCTCCCGAATAGCTGGGACTACAGGCATGTGCCACCATGCCCGGCTAATTTTTCTATATATTTTTAGTTGTCCAGCTAATTTCTTTCTATTTTTTCAATAGAGATGGGGTCTTGCTCTTGCTCAGGCTTGTCTCGAACTCCTGAGCTCAAAGGATCCGCCCGCCTCAGGCTCCGAGTGCTAGGATTACAGGCATGAGGCACCACGCCTGGTCCTCTGACTTTCAATTATTTATGCTCTCCTCTGATCCCAGTTTCACAGAAAATTGGGAGCTGAGTTAATAAAATTTCGGCAGTGTGCAGTCTGTGCACATCGAGGTTATTTTTAGGTCTTCCTCCTAAAAGTGAGATTTCATCTTGCAGCGATATGCTTGAAAAATGTTTGCTGTTAAGTGATGTGACATTGTTTACTAGAAAGCGATATAAGGCAGTGGTTTGAGATTGAGGAGATCGTGTAGGCAAATTCTTTTGCATGAGCTCTTCAACCCCCATGAGATATATATGAACGAGATTGTCCCAAACCTCTTTCCAGGAATTCTGGGGACAATATTTTCAAATTATTCGATTAGTTGCTAGCTTTTGGATAACATAGCTCCTTCATTAAAGCATAAAGGAGAAGCAGCAGGAAACACAGTTTTGATATTTTCATCTCTATTCTGGAATGGTACCCGAAATCTTGCAACTTTCTCCCGCCGGAAAGTTCAAATAAAGAGCGCTAAAAATCTTCAACCGCTCTGCTCTTCGGGGGCTGGGTTCAAGGTAATGGGCATTGATTTCTACCAATGGTACGAGGCTTCCTTGCACGTGGTCCCGCCCAGTCAGTTTACGTACGATCAGCCAATGAGAGTATCGCTATTTCAGTGAGCGGGGACCCATGGAAGAAGAAAAGAGGCTATTGGCCGCCCTCTGGGGCTGCTGTCCAATAGGAGCAGGCCGGGTCCCTGGCTCTAGCGGGGAGCTGGAGCGCCTCAGGAAGCTGCAGTTGGCGCCTGGGCGTTCTGAGCTGTGCTGAGATAGCTACCGATATTTTGGCGGCAGGTCAGCCGGGCCGCTTCCCGCTGGCTTTAGGTGAAGAGGGCGCTTGCTTTTCCTCAGGGTTTTGGCTTCTAGTTGTGGGATAACTTCCCCAGGCTTGATCCCTGGATACGAGACCCAGGGACGCCCCATAAGGTGAGCTGTAGGTGGGCTTGGAACCCGGCTGTATGACGAGGTTCGGGGCCTCGGGGAGGCCCCAACGGTCTGGAGTGAGTGGCCCGAACCCCGTTCTTTTGAGGGTGGGGGGCGGGGAAGGCAGGAACTCCGGGCTGTCATGGAAGGGACAGAGTTTGCCGTAGCGGGGCCTGCACGGGCCACGGGCAGAAGTCGGAGGTCTCCTGGCCTGCCACCCCCCTCCCCCAGCCTAGTTTCAAACTCCTCACCCGCGAGTGATTGTTTTCACCATTCATTGCTGGTTACTTGCATCCCTTTCAAGTTTACGAGAGAACTTAATTTTTATCCCAGCAACTCTTGTGATGCAAATGCTTTTATTATCCTTGTTTTACCGGTGAATAAATTGAATAAATTTAGAGAACTGGCCCTGCGCAGTGGTGCACGCCAGTAATCCTAGCACTCTGAGAGGCTGAGGTGGGACGATTTGCTTGAGCTGGGGATTTCGAGCCCAGCCTGAGCAAAAGCGAGACCCCATCTTTATTAAAAACAGAAATTTAGCAGGGCGTGGTGGCGCACGCCCGTAGTCCCAGCTACTTGGGAGGCTAAGGCAGAAGGATTGCTTGAGCCCAGGAGTTTAAGGTTGCTGTGAGTTAGGCTGATGCCACGGCACTCTACCCAGGGCGGCAGAGTGAGACTCTGTCTCCAAAAAAAAAAAAAAGTTTAGGGAACGCTTCTAAGGTCCCCCCAGACAGTAAATGATGGAGCGGGGTGAGGGGGAGGTGTCGTCCCGGCCTGTTGTGGGCATTGATTGAAACCTGAGTAACAAAACTTAGTAAGATGACAAATGGGAGGTTACTATTTGGAGCTGACACTCAACCGCACTCATAGAAAATAGCATTTGTGTGGCTTAGGACGACCAGCCCACGGTCTTTTTTACTCTAGGCACCTCGGGTTAACTCACACAGCTGGAACCTTCGCTCCAGTGCCGTTTCATAACTTTCTGCGACGACGAAAATGTTCTGTATTTCTCCTGTCCAGTATGGTTATCACACCTGCAGCGTGTGGGTTTTGTTCGCTTGAAATGTGACCGGTGCGAGTGAGGAACTTACTTTTTAATTTTATCTAATTTAAATTTAAATAGCCGCATTTTAGTAGTGGCTCCCTATATTTTGCTCATTGTGGTCCATTTCTACTCTTTGTTTTCGGGAAGGCTGATTTGCTTAATGTCTCTGTGGTACATCTAGAAGTAGCTTCCGACCTTACGTTCTAAGACATAATTCTTGGGAGGCTGTTTTTGTACCTTAGAAACATTAAAAGCTTTAACATTGTTTTAGAGGCGTAGTTAAGAATTTATTAGGCTTACTAGTGTACTTCCTTTCTTGGATAGTATGTTATAATTGCTAGGTTCTTCTGTAGAGTTCAAATCTACAGAAGTTTTAAAGAAATATATGGTATATAGCACCTGCTATGTTTTTACTTTGTTGTTTTTGAGATGTATAGAGGATACATTCAATAGGTATTTAGTGCTTGTTATGAAATTGGTACTAAGGATACCATGATGAATCGGGAGAGAGATTCTGCTCTCTCCTTTCCTGGTCTAATTAGAACTGGTTGCTCTCTAGGCATAGGATGGGAGGAAATTTTGTTTTTTAGTATTTAATCATGCTGAAAAGTACAGTGGATAATAAAGGGAGACTTGGCCACCAACCCATTACTCAGGTCTAAAATCTTGACCTTTGATATAATTGTTTTCAATCTTTTTAAGAAGAAAGAAATTATATAGTTGTAAAATTATATAGTCGTGTGTGTATATATATTATATACTTGTATATAAAAAAATTATATAGCCCATGTATACCCTTGCTCCCTCTCCTGAATTTGGTGCTGATCATGCCCAGGTATGTTTTATGCTACCATTATGTAAGTCCAGCTAGATAAGTAGCATGTTTTTAAGTGTTCTGAAAATGGAATCATAGTGAATTTGTCTGGAACCTGCTTTTTTTCTATTCAATATGATTTTTAAGAGAATTTACTGTTAGAAGTTTGTTTTGTTTTTTTTTTTGAGACAGAGTCTCACTTTGATGCCCAGGCTAGAGTGAGTATCCTGGTGTCAGCCTAGCTCGCAGCAACCTCAAACTCCTGGACTCAAGCAATCCTACTGCCTCAGCCTTCCGAGTAGCTGGGACTACAGGCATGTGCCACCAAGCTCGGCTAATTTTTTCTATATATATATTAGTTGGCCAATTAATTTCTTTCTATTTATAGTAGAGATGGGAGAGATGGGATCTCAACTCCTGCTCAGGCTGGTTTCAAACTCCTGACCTCAAGCAATCCGCCCTCCTCGACCTCCCAGAGTGCTAGGATTACAGGCGTGAGCCACCACGCCCGGCCTATTAGAGTTCTTATTTGGAGGAGAGTTTATGGTTCCATCTTAACCAGAGATTTTGCTTTACTTTTCCTCCATTTTATGAATTCTCTTTTCTAGTATTTAAGTTAATCAGATTTACTTGTTTGATCTTCTAATTTTATTATTTGCTTATTTGGCTGTCCTTTTATTCTACTTTCTGAAGAGTTCCTTGATTTTATCTTCCAATTTTTCTATTAAATCTTTTATTTTGGCGGGGTGCGGTGAGTGGCTCAGGCCTGTAATCCTAGCATTTTGGGAGACTGAGGCAGGAGGGAGCATTGTTTGAGGCCAGGAGTTAGAGGCCAGCCTGAGCAATATAGTGAGACTCCCTCTCTACAAAAAATAGAAAATTTAGCTGGGCGCAGTGGTGCATGCCTGTAGTCCCAGCTACTTAGGAGGCTAAGGCAGAAGGGTCACTGCAGCCCAGGAATTTGAGGTTGCAGTGTGCTATGATGATGCCACTCTACTGTAGACCTGGCAACAGACCCAGAGTCTGGCTTAAAAAAAAGGCCGGTCATGGTGGCTCACTCCTGTAATCCTAGCACTCTGAGAGGCTGAGGCGGTTGGATCCTTTGAGCTCAGGAGTTGGAGACCAGCCTGAGCAAGAGCGTGACCCCATCTCTACTAAAAAATAGAAAGAAATTACTTGGACAGCTAAAAATATATAAGAAAATTAGCCGGGCATGGTGCACATGCCTGTAAGTCCCAGCTACTCGAGGGCTGAGGCAGGAGGATTGCCTGAGCCAAGGTGTTTGAAGGTGCTGTGAAGCTAGGCTGACGCCACGGCATCTAGCCCAGGCAACAAAGTGAGACTCTGTCTCAAAAAAAAAAAAAGTGAAAAAAAAAGTCTTATTTTGGCTGTTAAAACATTTTTTTTTTTTTTTTTTTTTTGAGACAGAGTCTCAACTTGTTTGCCTAGGCTTAGAGGGTGGAGTCCGTGGCGTCCAGCCTAAGCTCTCACAGCAAACCTCACCACCGGGCTCCAAGCGATCCTGTTCTGTTCTTCCAGCCTCCAAGTAGCTGGGGGACTACAGGCATGCGCCCACCATGCCCGCTTAATTTTTCTATATATATAGTTGTTGGCCCATTAGTTTCTTTCCTATTTAATAGGTAAAGAGACGGGGTCTTCGCTCTGCTCAGCTGGTTTTGAACTCCGACCTCGAGCCAATCCGCCGCCCCTCGGCCCCCAGAAAAGAGCTAGGATTACAGGCGTGAGCGACCGCGCCCCGGCCAACATTTTTTATTTTGAAGAGTTCTTCCTTTATGATTTGTCATTTCCCCCCCCAGCATTCTGTTTTTGTTTTATGGATATAGAATCAGTAAAATCTGAGAATTTTAACTAGTTTGTTTGGTTTGTAAGTGTGGGAATTTTTTTTTTTTTTTTTTTTACTGTTTCTTGCATTGTCTTTCTTCCTTCCAAGTTTTTACTATTAGTCTCCTTGGTCTCTTTCTGTTATGTGGGGCATTTCCTCAAATATCAGTTGATGCTTGGCTGTTTGTTTCTGTTTTTTTTTTTTTTTTTTTTTTTTTTTGAAACAGTTTGTTCGCTTTTGTTTGCCCAGGCTAGAGGTGGAAGTGTGCCGTGGCCGTCAGCCCTAGCTCCCAGCAACCAACAATCTCCTGGCTCAAAGCAATCCCTGCTGCCTCAAACCTCCCGAGTAGACTGGAAATACAGGCAATCGCGCCACCATGCCCGGCTTAATATTTTTTGTGTATATATAGTTATAAGTTGGTCGATTATTCTTTCTATTTAGTAGAGGAGGCGGTCTCGCCTCAGGCTGGTTTTTGAACTCCGACCCCTTTCGAGCAATCCGCCACCTTCAAGCCTCAGAAAGTGGCCTAGATTAACAAAGGCGTGAGCCACAGCACGCTGGCTCTGTTTCCCTGTTTTGTTTTTTGAGACAAGGTTTGGTCACTCCGTTGCCTCACTAGAAGTTGCAGTGATTTTGTCAAGCCTCACTGCAGCCCCTCAAAACCCTGGGGCTCAGGGTGGAGTGGATTCCTCCTTGTCTTGGCTTCCAAAAGTGCCCTAGGGATTTTTAAACAGGGGCGGAAGCAAAACCGAGCCGGGTTTATTTGTCATTTTAAGGAGACCCACCTCTGGAAAAAGCTGAATGGAAGCCTTTGTTATGAAGCAAGCCCTTGAAGCGTTAATAACTGAGCCTTTACTGTTAGTTATGGTGACAGAAAGGACCCCCATTCCCATTTTCTTTTTTTTTTTGAAGAACCAGATCTTCCGCCTTGGTTGCCCTAGCTTAGAAGTGAGTTGCCCCTGGCGTCAGCCTAGCTCACAGGCCACCTCAAAACTCCTGGGCTTTCTACCCAATTACTCCTGCCTCAGCCTCCCGAGTACCTGGGACCTACAGGCATCGCCAACCATGCCCAGCCTAATTCTTTCTATTATATCAGTTGGGCCCAATAATCTTTTTCTAATTAACAAAGACGGGATCTTGCCTCTTTGCCCTTGGAGTGGTTTTCGACTCCTGGACCTCAGAAGCAGTCACCCGCCTCAGCCTCCCAGAGTGCTGGGATTACAGGCGTGAGCCACCCCGCCCGGCCGCATCCATTTTCTTTAGGGGGGTTCACAGCTATCAGTCTGTAAAGATCTTTATTTCTTGGGCTGTTTTGTTCCCCCCCCCCCAGAGAATGGGGAGTATATATTAACCAGAATATTGTATCCTGGATTTATGCAGGGGAAAGTAGCTGGGGAGAAGGGTTGGGAGTGTCTTACATTGTTCAGTTTGTAGACCTTCACTTAATCACTTATTTTCACTACTATGCCACTCTCCATCATGGTCCTAGGACTGTGGTTCAAACCTCCAGTTCTTTCCAGCACAGGAGGAAGAAAGTTTTGTTCATTTGTTTGTTTTTTTATTTATTTTTATTTTTTGAGGCAGAGTCTCACTTTGTTGCCTAGGCTTGAGTCAGCCCACAGCAACCTCAAACTCCTGGGCTCAAGAGATCCTTACTGCCTCAGCCTCCCGAGTAGCTGCGACTATAAGCATGCGCCACCATGCCCGGCTAATTTTTTCTATATATTTTTAGTTGACCAATTAATTTCTTTCTATTTTTAATAGAGACGGGGTCTTGCTTTTGCTCAGGCTGATTTCGAACTCCTGACCTTGAGCAATCCACCCGCCTTAGCCTCCCAGAGTGCTAGGATTACAGGCGTGAGCTACCGCACCTGTCCTTTTTGTTTGTTTTTTTTTGTTTTGGCTTGCTGATACTTGTTTGAGTGGAGACAGGCTAATTACTTCATAGCCTTTTAACCAACCCTCCTCCTCTCACCTCCATCTTTCAATATTGCCTTTCGTGGTGCCTGGTTTCTACATTCCTAATAGTGGAAATCAGCTTGCTTCTCTGTCTCTCTCTTTTTTTTCCCTGATTTATTTATTTGTAATTTTTTACTTTTTTATTAACAGTCATTTAGTTTTCAACTTTCATTTGTCAGAAATTCAATCTGTTAGGTCTGTCTTAAAATGTATTGCACCAAATCTTAAGACAAAGAACACTGGGTATTAAGAAAGAGGTCCACCCCAGTCTTTATTTCAGCACAGTACTTTTCTTCCTGTACGTACTCTGCTTAACATGATTACAAAAACCAAGACATAGTATTCTTTTATTTATTATATTTTTTATCTTTTCTTATTATAACTACTGTACAAACAAGGACAGCTTGCTTCTCAATGGCACACCTCCCTGCCACTCTTTTTTTTTTTTTAGATGGAGTCTCTGTCACCCTGGGTAGAGCAGAGTGTAGTGGCATCATTGTAGCTCACTACAACCACAGACTCCTGTGCTCAGGTGATCCTTTTGCCTCAGCCTGTCGAGTAGCTGGGACTATAGACATGCACCACCACACCAGGCTAATTTTTCTATTTTTAGTAGAAATGGATTCTCTCTCTTGCTCAGGCTGGACTTGGACTCCTGAGCTCAAGTCATCCTCCCACCTTGGCCAACCAGAGTGCTAGGATTACAGGTGTGAGCCACCGCACTCTTTGCAGGCACTTGAGTTTTATATTTCAGTAAGTAGTTACCAGCCCCCTTTATGGTCTGAAGAAACTGGTTTGTGTTTCTCATATTCTGTTTGCATTTGCTTGTCCTTGTGTATTTATCCTCTTTTTAGGCTTTATTGTTGTTGTTTTGTCGTCGATGGGGTTTCAGGAATGACTGGAGAGAAAAAGATAAATGTGCTTCATGTACCATGTTACCCAACTATTCAGCCCCCTCCAATCTGGCCTCTAACCCCACCACTTCAGGGAAACTGCTCTTTTTAGGTCATCTTTCATCCCCACATTGCTAACTCTAGTGGCCATTCTTTCTGACACTTTTAACCATTCCTTCCTTGAAACATTCTTCCAAAACACCACGCTCCTCAGCATTTTCCTTCTACCTCCACAATCTTTGTTTACTGGCTTCTCTTACTGTAACTGTTGTCCTATTAATGTTAGTACCTCTGGTTTGAGTCTTTGGCCCACTTCGATCATTCTGTCTCTTCGTAGGTGGTTTAGTCTGCTACTGTGATTTTAAGAATCATGACTATTCTGAGGATTCTTTTTTTGTTTTTTTTTGAGACAGAGTCTCACTCTGTTGCCTGGACTAGACTGCTGTGGCATCAGCCTAGCTCACAGCAACCTCAAACTCCTGGGCTGGAGCAATCCTCCTGCCTTCGCCTCCTGAGTAGCTGAGACTACAGGCATGCGCCACCATGCCCGGCTAATGTTTTCTATATATTTTTAGTCAGCCAAGTAATTTCTTTATATTTTTAGTAGAGACAGGGTCTCACTCTTGCTCAGGCTGGTCTTGAACTCCTGACCTCGAATGATCTACCATCTCGGCCTCCCTGAGTGCTAGCATTACAGGCGTGGGCCACTGCACCTGGCCTATTCTGAGGATTCTTAAAGCCATCTACTCCTTCCATCTCCACTGCTACTACTCTTGACCACTAGTCTGGACTCCTGCGATAGCCTCCAAACTACAGCTAGCTTGCACTCTTGCTCCCCTGCAGTCCATTCCTAACACAGAAGAAACTCCTTACCAAGGCTCATGAGACCTCTAATGAGAGTATCCTGGCCATTAACCAAACCCATGCTTGCTAGGGACCTACACATTGATTTCCTTCTGATACCCTTCCTGGCTTATCATATGGCTGGCTGGCTTTTAATCCTTCTCGCCTCGGCTCAGCTTTTACTCTCAGAGAGGCCTCCCTAAAAAAAAATTCTTAAGTGGTACCCCTTCTCTCCCAAAACTATATGTCACAATCTATAATTTTCTCATTTGTTTATTGACTTATCTCACTTGCTACAGTATAAACCCTATACAGTGTCTTGTCTGTCTGTGCCTCTGAGGTGTCTGACTGCATAACAGGTGCTTAACAGGTACTGAACTCCCATTTCCTCATGAGGCGGATGCAAAGACAAGTGCTTACTTTACTTCAAAAAGTAATAAGGGGCTGAGTTACACTGATGTGCTTTGGAAACTAGGTAGTGGTTTTCAAACTGAAGTAATGGAATTAAAGTTGGGAAACAAAAAATGAAAAGGACATCTAAGTGCTTATTAAATATTTGTTGGATGGACTAACATAATGGAATTTGGAGATGGGGAAACAAAAATAAAGGGATAGGGTAAAATTTGTTCAGCCTTTTTGGAGACTTGGAGAGATTAGATAAATTTCTGTAATATTTTTAGTTAGTAACTAAGTTAATTTTGCACGTGTAAAAAATGTCCTTTTTGTGCTTAAGCTTTGTAACTTTTGATGCTGGTAAAGATGAATATTGCCTGCTAAAATTAGATATAGCATTATAGGTATTTGATTTTGGTAAATGTCCATATTCAGGCCGAGACAAAGAACTGCAAATTGTCTGGGAGATTACTTTCAGACCTAATAGTTCAATCCCCTTGTTTTATAGATCTTTATATTTTGGAAGATAGTACTATGGTTACAGGACTTAATGTTTTCAAAGGACAAACTAGAAAACTGCTTATATACACAGGTTTGTAAGACTAAGAAAAGAAACCGCTTATAGGTGTTTGTTATGGAGAAAAAAGTCAATTACCAAATACTTCTGATTTAAGTAACTAAAGTCTTCTCTTTGAGGTTCTCATTTTTGCTAACAAGGATCTCAAACAAATTCAGAAAGACTACATATGCTCATATCAGCTATATAGCATCTATTTCACTAATAACTTTTTACAAATACTGTTTCTCCAGTGATGGCTCATGAAACAATGCAATATGAGCTTCAGGTGCAGTTAGACCATCATGCTGCAGAACAGCCAGTGCCTGCTGAAGTGGCCAGTAGCCAGGGAGTCCTGCCTCCGCTCCAGCCTGTCCCTGCTGAAGTGGTCAGCAGCCAAGGAAGACCAGTCCTGCATCAAGCTGCCCCTGCTGAACTGGTCAACAGCCAAGGGGGACCACTACTGCTCCAGCCTGCTCCACAGGTGTCCATTGACCTGACAGTGGAAGAGGTGCTCTCAGGTGAAGAGCGTGTGGAGAACATCAATCCAGGAGCTTCAGAGGAGCAAAGGCAGGAATCTGGTGCTACCCAGCCCATCCGAGCACATTCAGTGGACTCAATGAACAGCTTCATCAGTGGGCTGCAGAGACTTCATGGCATGCTGGAATTCCTGAGACCTCAACGTTCAGACCAAAGTGTGGGGCCAGTGAGACCGAGGAGGAGGAGGAGGAGGGGATCTGCCTCACAGAGAGCAAGAGTTGGAGGGTCTCAGAGAACAGACAATGCAAGGTAACTATATGTATAAGTCATGTGATTTAGTGCCATACTAGGAATGATGAAACTCAGGCTCTGTTCTGAGTGCTGCCAAGATCTGGCAGTATGACTTTTGGCAAGTCAGATAACTTTGCTAAATCCTTGTTTCCTTATAAATCAGATGGAAATAAAAGTGCTTGCCTTACTTTATAAAGTAACTGAGGGGATCAGTTATACTGATGTGCTTTGAAAACTAGGTGGTAGTTTGTTGGCAATGGTTTCTATAGAGGTTGGCTTTTCTCTCTTTTTCTTTTTTTAAGGGATGATGTCTTGTTCTGTCACCCAGGCTGGGGTGCAATGACATGATCATAGCTTGCTGCAGCCTCTTACTCCTGGATTTAAGTGATCCTCCCAAGTAGTTGGGATAACAAGCATGTCCCACAATATTCTGCGATTTTTTTTTTTTTTTTTTAGAGGCAGGGTCTTGCTATGTTTCCAAGGCTGGTCTCAAACTCCTGGCCTCAAGTGATCCTCCCACATTGGCCTCACAAAATGCTGGGATTATAGGCATGAGCCACCGCACCCAGCCAAGGTTGGTCCTTTTTCAGATCTTTTGTGTCTTGTCCTCCAAGAAATATTTCTTAACTTGCAAGTCCTCTCCACTCAACCAAGATTCATTGTTCACTGGCACTCCACTTAGAGGTGCAATTAAATGGGCAGGCTGGATTTAGAGAAGCCTCATGAAAAGTGGAATATAAATTAATTTACATCTTAGCTAAGTAATTAGGAAACATGCCAGCCCTCCACCTGAGAGTGTGTTGTAGAGTTGAAAATAATTTTCTTTCACAGTCTTTGGTTTGAACTTGCCTCTTAAAGGACTTAGATGTCAAGTCTTCACAGAGATATTATTGAAGAATAGCCATTATCTATGCCCTGTCCATTTTTTAACTTTTTCCTGGTTTATTTAAAATACCTCATTTCACATTTGGCCTTCTGTTTCTACAATGTTAGAGATTTATTTCAACCTCTGTATTTTATGTGAAGGAAACTTGGACCCTGAGAGAGGGCTTTGTGTAGGGTCTCATGGCTACTGCACAGAGCAGTTAAAGCTGGTATTAGAGCCTGGATCTGACTTAGTTTCTACCCAGGCAGATGGGAGAAGCTTCACTTGATCCATTTGTTTTCTAACACTATGAAAATATTAAGATGATATTAAGGCCGGGTGCAGTGTGTCATGCCTGTATCCTAGCACTCTGGGAGGCCAAGGCAGGAGGATCACTAAAGGTCGGGAGTTCATAGCCTGAGCAAGAGGGAGACCCCGTCTCTACTAAAAATAGAAAGAAATTAGCTGGACAACTAAATATATAGAAAAAATTAGCCAGGCTTGGTGGCCCATGCCTGTAGGCCTAGCTACTCCGGAGGCTGAGGCAGAAGGATTGCTTGAGCCCAGGCCTATGAGGTTGCTGTGAGCTAGACTGATGCCATGGCACTCTAGCCTGGGCAACAGAGTGAGACTCTGTCTCAAAAAGAAAAGAAAAATTAGCCGCCTGAGCTATGTGGGAGCCTAAGGCAGGAGGATCACTTGAACCCAGGACTTTGAGGTTGCAGTGAGGTATGATGACACCACTGGAGACAGAGGTAGACTCTGTCTTAAAAAAAAAAGTGAATCCTTTCCAGAAGGTTTTAAATTCACTTTGCCCAGACCAATCGGAGGAATCACTATGGCAGCTATAGCAAGACTTGAAAGTTGAAATAACCCCTTGACACACTGGGCTGCAGAGTAGATGTTGTGTTAGCATGGAAACACCATTAATCTCCTAAGTCTTCATCAGAGCTGTTGGGTGACCAGGTGCATTTTCACTGAGCAGTAATATTTTGAAAGGAATCTTTTTTCTGAGCAGTCAGTCTTAACAGTGGGCTTAAAATATTCAGTAAACAATGCTGTAAACAGATGTACTGACATTCAGGCTTTGTGGTTGCACTTACAGAACACAAGCAGAATATATTTAGTGTAGTTCTCAAGGACCGTAGGATTTCAGAATGATAAATGAGCACTGGCTTTTACTCAAAGTCACCAGCTGCATTAAGCCCTAACAAGAAGTTAGCCTGGGCCGGGCGCTGTGGCTCACGCCTGTAATCCTAGCTCTTGGGAGGCCGAGGCGGGCGGATTGCTCAAGGTCAGGAGTTCAAAACCAGCCTGAGCAAGAGCGAGACCCCGTCTCTACTATAAATAGAAAGAAATTAATTGGCCAACTGATATATATATATAAAAAATTAGCCGGGCATGGTGGCGCATGCCTGTAGTCCCAGCTACTCGGGAGGCTGAGGCAGAAGGATCACTGGAGCCCAGGAGTTTGAGGTTGCTGTGAGCTAGGCTGACGCCACGGCACTCACTCTAGCCTGGACAACAAAGTGAGACTCTGTCTCAAAAAAAAAAAAAAAAAGAAGTTAGCCTGTCCTTTGAAGCCTTAAAGCCAGGTATTGACTTCTCTTGAGCTGTGAAAGTCCTGGATGGCATCTTCTTCCAATAGAAGGATTTTTTTATCTACATTGAAAATCTATTTAGCCACCTTCATCAGGGTATGTTGTGGCTGGTTTGATCGTCGGTCCGGACCACTAAAACTGTCTCCATATCAGCAATAAGGCTGTTTCACTTTATCATTAATGTGTTCACTGGAATAACACTTTTAATTTCCTTCAAGGACTTTTTCCTTGCATTTACAAGTTGGCTATTTGGTGTAAGAGGCCTAGCTTTTGGCCTGTCTCAGCTTTTGACATGCCTTTCTCACTACCCTTAATCATTTCTAGTTTTTGATTTAAAGTGACAGACATGTGACTTTTCCTTTCACTTAAACACTTAAAGACCATTGTAGAGTTATTAATTGGCCAAATTTCAATATTGTTTTGTCTCGCAATAGGGAGGCCCGAGGAGAGAGGGAGAGATGGGGCAGTGGCCAGTTGGTGGAGCAGTTGACACACACATTTATTGATTAAGTTTGCTGTCTTATATGGGCATGGTTCATAGTGTCCCCAAACAATTACAGTAGTAATGTCAAAGATCACTAATCACAGATCACCATAACAGATCTAATAATAATGTAAATATTTGAAATATTGCAAGGATCACCAAAATGTGTCACGGGGACACAAAGTGAATACATGTTGTTGGGAAAATGGTGCTGATAGACTTGCTAGGCATAGGGTTGCTGACCTTCAATTTGCATAGACTGCAATATCTACAGAGTACACTAAAATGAGGTATGTCTGTGTACTATTGAAATAAATTGGATTAATCTGAACTAGATTGTTGTAGATTTAGGTGTTAATTGTAATCCCAAGGATAACCACTAAGAATATAATTTAAAAATATGTGGTAAAAGAAATGACAAGAGAACTAAAATGGCACACTAGAAAACATTTAACACAAAAAAGGCAGTAATGGTAGAATTGAGGAACAAAAAAGGCATAAGACATACAGAAGACAAATAGTAAAACGGCAGACATAAATTCTTATTAGTAATTACATTAAATACAAATGGATTGACCATTGATCCAAGGGCATAGATCAACAGCATGAATTTTTTGATCCAACTATATGCTGTCTATAAGACATACTCTTTATATTCACAAATGTTATTATAATAGGTTGAAAGTGAAAGGGTGGAATAATATATAGTCTATATATAATAACCAAAAGATAACTGAGGTTGCTATACTAATATCAGACAGAATAGACTTTAGGACAGAAATTGTTCTAAGAGTCAAAGAAGACCATTTTATGGTCAAAATAGCAATTTGTCTAGAAAATTTAACAATTACAAACCTATGTGCATCTAACAAACAGAGCCCCTAAATACGTGGAGGAAAAATTCACAGAATAAAAGAAATAGACAATTCATCAGTAATAGTAGGGGACATCAGTACTTCATTGTCAATAATAGGTGGAACAATTAGACACAATCAAAAAAGACCTAGAATACTTGAACAACAGTATAAAATTGATTAGTTCTAGTAAACATCTGTAGAACATTCCACTCAACAACAGCTGAATGTTCTCCAGTGCACATAGAACATTATCTAGGATAGGTCATATATCTGGCTGTAAAACAAGCGTCAGTAAATTTAAAAGGAGTGAAATATGTTCTCTGACCACAATAGAATAAAATTAGTTATCAGTAACAATTTTGGGAGAGTTCACAAATATGTGGAAATTGAACAAGTCCTAAATAATCAAAAGAATAGCAAACAAAACCCAAAGCAGGTAAAAGGAAATAAGATTAGAGTAGAAATAAATGAAATAGAGAATAGAAAAATGAGGGGAAAAACCCTAAAGTTCATTCTTCTAAAAGATCAAGAAAATTAACAGGCCAGGTACGGTGGCTCATGCCTGTAATCCTAGCACTCTGGGAGACCAAGGTGGAAGGATTGCTTGAGCTCAGGAGTTTGAGACCAACCTGAGTAAGAGTGAGACCCCATCTCTACTAAAAATAGAAAAGTCAGCCAGGCGTTGTGGTACGCACCTGTAGTCCCAGCTACTTGGGAGGCTGAGACAGGAGGATCACCTGAGCCCAGGAGTTTGAGGTTGCTGTGAGCCAGGCTGATGCCACAGCACTCTAGCCTGGGCAACAGTGTGAGACTCTGTCTCAAAAACAAACAAACAAAAACACTTCCCACAAAGAAGAGCCCAGGATCAGATGGCTTCCCTTAGGAATTATACAAAACATTTAAGGAGTTAGTAACACTAATACTGGATAAACTCTACTTTTTTTTTTTTTTTTTTTTTTGAGGAGGGAACATTTCCTAACTGAATCTGGTGCCAATATTACCCTGATACCAAAACCATAAAACAAAATACTAACAGACCAAATCCAGCCACATATCAAAACAGATTATATACCATAACAAAATAAGATTTGTCTTACAAAAGCAAGGTTGTTTAAACATTTGATGAAATATACCATATTGTTATGATAAAGGGGGGGAAAACATGACCATCTCAACAGATGCAAAAAAAGCATTTGACAAAATGCTTTTGTCAAAAAACATTCTATGGTAAAAACCCTTCTATGGTAAAAAACAATAACAAAAAAACCACTCAGGCCGGGCGCTGTGGCTCACGCCTGTAATCCTAGCTCTTGGGAGGCCGAGGCGGGCGGATTGCTCAAGGTCAGGAGTTCAAAACCAGCCTGAGCAAGAGCGAGACCCCGTCTCTACTATAAATAGAAAGAAATTAATTGGCCAACTGATATATATATAAAAAAAAAAATTAGCCGGGCATGGTGGTGCATGCCTGTAGTCCCAGCTACCCGGGAGGCTGAGGCAGAAGGATCACTCGAGCCCAGGAGTTTGAGGTTGCTGTGAGCTAGGCTGACGCCACGGCACTCACTCTAGCCTGGGCAACAAAGCGAGACTCTGTCTCAAAAAAAAAAACAAAAAACCACTCAAACTAGGAAATGGAAGGGCACCAATAAGAAACCTGCACCTGACATCATAATAAATAGTCAAAGACTGAAAGTTTTAGTCTAATATGAGAAACAAGACAGAGATGTCTGTTTTTGCCAGTTCTATTCAACATTGTATTGGAGGTTCTAGCCAGGACAGTTAGGAAGAAAAATAAAAGGCATTCAGATTGAAAAGGAAGAAATGAAGCTATAGCTATTTGTAGGTGACATGATCTTGTATTAATATTTATCATCAAGTTGTGAAAGTAGACATGAGAGGCCACATATTGTATCATTCAGTTCATATTAAATGTCCAGAGTAGGCAAATCCATAGAGAAAAAAAGAATGTTAATGGTCACCAGGGCATGGGAGGAGGGGAAATGACTGCTTGTGGGTACAGGGTTCCTTTTAGGTGTGTTTAATATGTTTTCGTCTGAGCACTGAGGCTCATGCCTATAATCCCAGCACTTGGAAGGCTGAGGCAGGAGGGGATCACTTGAGGCGAAGTACAAGATTAGCCTGGCCATTGTAGCAAGACCCCTTCTCTACAAAAAAATAAGAAAAATTAGCTGAGTGTGGTGGCACGCACAGAGGCTGAGGTGGGAAGATCGTTTGAGCCCAGGAGTTGGAGCCTGCAGTAAGCTTTGATCATGCCATTGCACTCCAGCCTGAGTGACAGAGTGAGAGCCTGTCTCTTTAAAAAAAAAAAAAAGAAGAAGAAAAAAAATATTTTGGAAACATAGTGATTATGCTAAAAACCATTTGCTTGTAAATAGTGAATTTTAAGATGCGTGAATTATGTCTGAATTTCAAAAAAGAAAAACAACCTGATTGCTGTTTCTCATTTCAGTTTGATAACTCAAATAACAGGTGAGTGAAAGAAGAGTGATAATCAGTTGAGGTTTATTAAACCAAAGTTTGAGGATGCCCTTGGGAAAAGCACAAACCACAGAAGCATCTGTGACCTGTGCTTTCTGAAGAGGGATTTGGGAACTCAGTATTTAAGGAGAGAAGGCATACAGAAAAAATAAGAAGAGTGGGGGTAGGCAGTGAAGCAAATGGTTACATTCTTGTGAGGCTCTAATTTAGTGCTCAGTAAATCTACATTTTACATAAGATAAGGTGAACTTTCAAAGAAGGGAGTAGAGGAAAAGGTCAATTATGTAGGTGCCTCTGGGTAGGCAGAGGAGTGATCTTATTTTGTCCTTGTTCTGCCTGTGTGGAGATAAGCTTGTTGTTGACATTGTCTGTGTGAATGATTTATTTAGGTTGCAGTCCTAAAGTTATAATTGGCATGAGCTTCTTTTTATAGGGGGCTGTATATCCTGAAAGGTTTAGGGACTGACTAGGAATTTCCCTGTAAGCAATCTGTGAGGACAGCCATCCAGAGAGTTGGGAATCTGGCTTGTGCATAAAGTTACAACACAGTGCTGTGAAATCATAGCTATTCCTTTGCAAAAAGGATGTCAGTGCTGAATGTTTCAATTCCTAGGCTTAGTTCTCCCTTTGGCATAATGAGTTTGCAGAGTCCTGAGATTATATTTTTCCTTTACAAGCTCATTCACATTTCTTTTTTTTTGCAAGGGTGACTGTTCTATTGAATTGGATGCCAAGTAATGTTTCTTTTGTTATTCAGTCATCCTTTTTTTTTTTTTTTTTTTTTTGAGACAGAGTCTCGCTTTGTTGCCCAGGGTAGAGTGAGTGCCGTGGCGTCAGCCTGGCTCACAGCAACCTCAAACTCCTGGGCTCAGCTATCCTACTGCCTCAGCCTCCCTAGTAGCTGGGACTACAGGCATGCGCCACCATGCCCGGCTAATTTTTTCTATATGTATTAGTTGGCCAATTAATTTCTTTTTCTATATTTTGGTAAGACGGGGTCTTGCTCAGGCTGGTTTTACTCCTGACCTCGAGCAATCCGCCCGCCTCGCCTCCGAGTGCTAGGATTACGGCGTGAGCCACCGCGCCGGCCCTTTTTTTTTTTAATAGAAAGCTGTCATTTGTCATAATTAAAGCCAAACTTTAGAAATAATTTTTCTGTGGGCAGTCCCAACAATGTTTTTGGGTAGTAATCATATCTAATGTCATAATTACAGTTATTAAAACTTAAAGTAGGTCACCTATCAATAATACGTAGTAATTAATATTAATAGCTATGTAATGTGTTTTGAAGTTTGTAATACCCTTTTGATTTTTTTTTTTTTTTTTTTTTTGAGACAGAGTCTCGCTTTATTGCCCAGGCTAGAGTGAGTGCCATGGCGTCAGCCTAGCTCACAGCAACCTCAAACTCCTGGCTCAAGCAATCCTCCTGCCTCAGCCTCCGAGTAGCTGGGCTACAGGCATTCGCCACCATGCCGCTAATTTTTTGTATATATATTAGTTGGCCAATTAATTTCTTTCTATTTATAGTAGAGACGGGGTCTCGCTCTTGCTCAGGCTGGTTTCGAACTCCCGACCTCGAGCAATCCGCCCGCCTCGGCCTCCCAGAGAGCTAGGATTACAGGCGTGAGCCACCGCGCCCGGCCCCTTTTGGTTTTTAATATAGAATTTCATTGCTTTTGTTTTTAATTTTTAAGGCTAATCAAGTGAAGCAGTGGGAGTGGAGAAGGAACAAAAGAATCTATAACTGCTTGTGATCAATTAGTTGTAAAGACGACTGCATTCAGATCAGCCCTCAAACTGTTATGACATAAGTAGGGTTTGTTATCCCAGGAATGAAGGAAACTCAGGTATAGTAGTGGTTATGGTTAAAACTCAGTCAGCTAGAATGAATTTGGAGTTAAGTTTGGTCCCAGCTCTTGATATACTATATTTTTATCTTAAAACAACACTAAATGTTAAAAGAAAAATATTGTCCTAAAATAAGAGGTGAAGAAATGATGAATGAAGCCAGACTTCATACTATACTCCAAAAGACATTGGTCTGAGTAGTTGCAGTAGCAGAATCCCATGAGGCCATTTTGAGCAATAAGGCCCTTTGTCTTCTTACCCACTCTCCCTTTTCAGTTCTCTAATACCAGCAGACAAATTGCTGAGTCATGTCCTTTAAAAATATTGACACATGGCCATTACTGCTGAATCATAGTGAAGTTAAAAATATATATATATATATGTTAATGCATGGCCAAAGGCCAGTAAAAGAGAATTAACTTAGCAGAAGGATCAAGCTCCACTGCAGGCTAGTGTAGCAATGATTGAGTGGTAAAAGATAATATTCAGGAGGCCAGCCTCTGCTTAATCTGTTATTCTTGTTCAACTTTCAAAGGTAGCATTTAATGGCCTGGAAATGGGTTGAAATGATAGGATTTACTCAGATCACTGTGGATTTTCTTATATTGACGGTTCATTGTACTGTGATTCTTTTGTCTTTCTTCATACATAGGTTGAGAGCACCACTGGCTGCTTACTTTCAGGTGAGCCGAACCCAGGTTCACATGCCAGCTACCTCTTATGATTCTGAGACTAGTAATTCCATGCCTGAAGACTTGGAGGTGTCTAGTAGTTCTGATTCTGGCAGTGACAGCTCTGCAGAGGATGGAGAGGCTATTGTCCAAGCAGAGGAACCCGAAGCTGTCATTGTAGAAGGTCAGTGTTTTATCCAGGTTTGGATTCACAAGGCTAACATCCACAAAGCTTAGACTTCAAAAAGCTAGAAACTCTAGATTTGTGCTTTCATACTTTCCCTTTTCTCCTCCAAATGTTATAGATTCCTGCTTTATAGTACAGAGATTTCACTGGCCATAATTATATGGAGAGGATTTGATCTGACTCACAATTTAACGTGATTTGTAATCCAGTGAGTCAGTCACTTTGTAATGGCATTTTATAGTCCCTTTCATTTTCTTAGACATCTGAGAGAGACGTAGATTATTTATTTCAAAGAAAAGTTTTATAGGCTGGGCTCGGTGGCTCATGCCTGTAATCCTAGCACTCTGGGAGGCAGAGACAGGAGTATTGTTCAAGGTCAAGAGTTTGAGATCAGCGTGAGCAAGAGCAAGACCCCGTCTCTACTAAAAGTAGAAATAAATTAATTAGCCAACTAAAAATATATAGAAAAAATTAGCCGGGCATGGTGGCACATGCCTGTAGTCCCAGCTCCTCAGGAGGCTAAGGCAGTAGGATTGCTTGAGCCCAGGAGTTGGAGGTTGCTGTGACGCCACGGCACTCTAGCCCGGGCAACAGAGTGAGACTCTCTCAAAAAAAAAAAAAAAAAAAAAAAAAAAAGAAGGCCGGTGCGGTGGCTCACGCCTGTGATCCTAGCTCTCTGGGAGGCCGAGAATTATGTCTGAATTTCAAAAAAGAAAAACAACCCTACTATAAATACGAAAGAAATTAATTGCCAACTAATATATATACAAAAAAAAATTAAGCCAGGCCCCATGGTGGCGAATGCCTGTAGTCCCAGCTACCTTGGGAGCTGGGGCAGGGAGGATTCGCTTGAGCCAGGAGTTCTTGAGTTGCTGGTTGAGCTAGGTGACGCGCCCACGGCACTCACTCTATGCCTGGGCAACAAAGCGAGAACTGCTGTCTCAAAAAAAAGAAAGAAAAGTAAAGTTTTACAAATTCAGCACCCTGTGTAGTCTGCCACTTTTGAGTCCTAGTATAAGGTTATGTATTGTGCAAGTGGAACATTATTTAACAGTAGGTGGGCAGAGACCCCTAAGGTAGGTGTCCTGTGTAATTAAAAACCCACTAATACCACAGAGTGTGGTCTCATTTTCCCACTAAAAGAAACCTGGACTTCTTGGAGAAATGGCTTTCTAGGTCTGGAATAGGAAATATACAAGATATGAGCATAGTACATTTTATTGTGCTAAAAAGCAAGGAAGCTGTCTGGGTCTCATAAAGTTATGTCAGTAGGTGCAGGAACCACCTTGAAAGGGCTTCTAGACAGCTAAATGGCATGATTTGAGCATCAGAAAGAATAATTCTTGGATTATAGGCTGAAATATATTAAATCTATGAAAATCTGTAAGTACATAGTTGTGTAATTTTCAGAAACTTCATTTATTGCTATCATAAGTTGTTAGAACCCCCAATTCATTACTCTAAAAAAACAAAAAATACAGGATCAAGCATTTGTCTTGCCTTCTTGTATAAACTATATTCAGGATAACCAAATAGTTGATGAAGGAAGTTTTTAAAACACAAAAAATCAGCATTTTGCAAAAGTAGAACCACTAGACCTTCTGTGCCTCTTATTCTACTGCAATCAGAAATACTCATACCACCTAGGAAGTCTGTTAACAACAGGAAAAAAACACACAAAACAAAACAAACCTTGAATCTACTCAAGGCTCTAACTCTAATAACCAGTTTGCACAGATTATAGGAGAAGGGGGCAGAGGAACAAGGTAAATAATACCTCACATGTAATCATTTGAATCTAAAATGTAAGACATTCTACAAATGGAACACCTAGAAAAAGACCTAAATGTATATGGAAATATAGTGCATTTTAAAGGAAATATCTCAAGTCAGTGGGGATGATAAAGACATTTAAATTAGTACTGTTGTTACAACTGGATAGCTAACTGGACAACAATAAAATTGGATTCATTCCTCATGCCATAAACCAGGATACACTACAAGTAGATCAGAGATCTAATGTAAAAAGTGAAACCATTCTAGTGTTAGAAGAATACATGAGTGATAAAACCCAGGAGTAGGGAGTACTTTGAAATCTAGAAGCAATAAAAGAACATTACACAAAATTTTCAAATGTTTGATATAACAGTAAACCAGCATAGATATTTCATGATTCCACTTGTATAAAATGTCTAGGAAAGGCAAGTCTATAGAAACAAGATTAGTGGTTGCCTAGGGCTACGGGAATAAATGGAAAATAACTCTAAATGAGCATAAGGGATCTTTTTTTGGCTGATAGAAATATTTTAAATTGGATTTTGGTGGTGGTTGCCCAACTCTAAATTTGCTATACATAAAAGTTAAACAATATCATCAAGAAGCAATCAGCCAAATCCAGGATGTAGGACATTTCATATGACAAATGACCAAATTTCCCCAAGATATCAGTGACAAGGATTGAAAAAAAACAAGTGAAGGAGAATTGTATTAAAATGAAAAAAGACTTAAGAGACCTAATAGTCAAGCTCATTGTGGAGACCTTTTTTTGTATTCTGATTAAAATAAATTTGTAAAGGACAACTTTAAAACTATTGGGAAATTTTGAATATGAACTGCACGTCTAAGTATTAGGTAGTATTAGAGGATTGTTGTTTAATTTATTATGTATAATGATATAGTGTTTATGTAAAAAAAAAAAAGAATCCTTATCAGTGTTTTAAAAGTTTTTAAAAGTATAATGACATTGTAGGCTTTGTTAAATATTCCAACCAAAAGAAAACAATGGAATGGAGCAAGATTCACAAAACATTGATTACTTTCTAGATTGGGTTATGTATACTTGTGGGTTAACTATACCTTTTTGTCTACTTTTATGCATGTTTGAGAATATCCAAAGAAAGTTAAGGTTTGTCACGGTGGCTCACACCTATAATCCAAGCACTCTGGGAGGCCAAGGCAGGAGGATTGCTTGAGCTCAGGAGTTCAAAACTAGCCTGAGCAAGGGCAAGACCCCGTCTCTACTAAAAATAGAAAAAATTAGCCAGGTGTGATGGCACTCACCTGTAGTCCCAGCTATTCAGGAGGCTAACGCAGAGGGTTGCTTGAGCCCAGGAGTTCAAGGTTGTTGTGAGCTGGGCTGACACCATGGCACTCTAGCCAGGGCAAGAGAGCAAGATTCTTTTTTTTTTTTTTTTTTTTTTTTTACAGAGTCTCGCTTTGTTGCCCAGGCTAGAGTGAGTGCCATGGCGTCAGCCTAGCTCACAAAAAATAACAAATACAACAAAAAATAACAATCAGCCTCCCGGGTAGCTGGGACTACAGGCATGTGCCACCATGCCTGGCTGATTTTTTCTATATATATCAGTTGGCCAATTAATTTCTTTGTATTTATAGTAGAGACGGGGTCTTGCTCTTGCTCAGGCTGGTTTCGAACTCCTGACCTTGAGCAATCTGCCTTCCTTGGCCTCCCAGAGTGCTAGGATTACAGGTGTGAGCCACCGCACCCGGCCAGCAAGATTCTTTCTAAAAAAAAGAAAAGAAAATTTAAAAAAAATCACTGATGCTAGTTAGGGAAATTGTCATCCCCTTTGCAGGTACACTACCAATTAGAAATGGATAGCCGTAGTGAGTCAGGCTGTCTCCTACTAGGTTCTCATTCTTGACTTAAGTCGTCTTTTGTGTATTACCTAGGTATTGATAGGTATCCTACCATTTCAGGAAACAACTTGGCAGAGCATCCAGGAGATACCGTAGCAGAGCAAGAAGTTACATGTGACAGTAGAGGCGAGACCCTCCCCAAACAGGTAGTAAGAACACTCTTTTAAATAAAAGATTTGGGTTTTTATTTAAAAGTGGGGCTGCAGGTTAAAATGAAAATCTTGCAGGCTTTGTAGGCAAGAGGTCCAGGTATGGATCCTGTCCTAGTGACTCGTTATTTTTGTGACTGCTTCCTCTTAAGTTTAAAAATGAGGGAGTGATGTACTTGCTTCAGCAGCACATATACTAACATTGAAACGATACAGAGAAGATTAGCATGGCCCCTGTGCAAGGATGACAGACAAAATCATGAAGCATTCTATATTTTATAAAAATTTTTAAAAATGTGGGGGTGGAGTAGAGGATAACCTGTGCTGCCCACTCAGTAAGGTTAAGTATCAGTTTTGAAAGTTGATACGAACACCCGTCTCTACTTCATATCAGTCATGAGTTACAATTATTAAGATAAGATCTGATAAACTTAATAATGAATTGAGCGAGTTAGATGTGATCAAGTTATTTTATGTCTCAGGTAGAAGATGTTATAGAATGAATTTGCGGCAACTAGAGAGGAAAGTGAATAAAAAACCAAAAATAAAAAGTCTAGACCAGTCTGAGGCATAGTGTCAGCTGGAGATGCACTTCGTATAGATTCCCTAGTCAATACACTTGGTAGGACTGGGGCAGGAGGATTGCTTGAGCCGAAGGAGGATGAGGATTGTGTGAGTACTACGGCTGAATCGCATCGCCACGTGCTAGAAGATCACCATCGTAGCGCTGGGACATAACAACGAGACATAGAAGTGTGCTATCAGATGATGAGAAGTTCAAAAAATCAAGAAAGTATAAAAAGTATAGATTAGAGTATTACATTCAGTTTGCCCTGTGTTATGTCTTCCACTGTGTTTGAGACTACAGTGATAAGGGAACACAGGTGTGATAGTGAGTATTTATTGTGCAAGTGGACCTCATTCATACTAACAGTATATGGGTCAGTAGCCCCTAATTGCCGTAATGGCTCTTGTGTTAATTAGAACCGCAAATGATTACCACCAGAAGAATGGCTTTTCGTCACATTTGCCCACTAAACAGGCAACCTGATTCATTGAGCAACGGCGATCTTAGGTCTGCGAAATGAAAATAGCTACTAGGATTTATTATGTATGCTATGCATCTGAGGGATAACAAAGGTATAATTATGTTGTGACTGATAGTTAAGCAAGGAAGTCCCGTCCTGGGTCTCAGACAATAATTAGTGTGGTCATTCAGTATATAGGTGGACAGGAACCCTTGAACTTAAGCTTCGGGGAAGAACATGCTAATATGCTTATTGAGTTTTGAGCTGAGGAAGCATTGCTACTAGAAAAGAAATCATTCTTGGATTATAAGGAGCTGAATAGTATCAAGCGTATTTCTGAGGGAATGGATTCTAAGCATGAAAATGCGTTACTAATATGGTTGTTGTAACATTATTCTAAAATTAAGTATGTAGTTTTGCTATCTATTATCGTTAACTCTTCCCATAGTCATAGTAACTACTGAGGAAAAGACAACAAAAGAATCATTAGGATTCTGGGGAAGCCTGCCATGTGTGTAGCTTGCTTCTTTGGGTATAAGTACCACTTCAAATTATTTGACAGGATAATACACAAAAAATCTTGAAATGTATTGATGCAGACATCTGACAATCGTATAATTAAAAACACAAAAAGACAGCACAGCATATAACTTACATAGACAACAGTAGATAACTCCTAGAGCTTCCGAAAACTCATATTGTCTGTACCTCTTTTATTCTTATTTCTGAACAATACTAGAAAGCTATGCTGCACAATTGTAACCACCTATACATGAGAAAAGTCTGATATCATCAATCAGGAAAAAAATGACCAACATAAACAAACAAATGCATTGAATTCCTATACCACAGGCTCTAATCTTCTACAATTAACCAGTTGCACAGGTAATAAGAGGTGCGTGGTTGGAGCCAGAGGGGGTCAGAGAATACAGGTAACCTTCACTCATACTGGGTGCGACATGTAATCATTTGAATCAAAATGACGAGCGGGAGTTGATATTGCGTACAAAGGAGATCATAGAACCAAGGACAACATAGGAGCTAATAGGATATAGTGCCTGTTATAACATGGAAAATCCAAATCAGGGGATGAATATAAAGCATTTTAATAATTGGCATTAGTTAGATGTTGTATTAACTGAGTACTATTGGAAACAATAAAAATATGGATGGCTATCCGCTAGTTGGCTTGAGTAAATCACGCGCATTATCGGCAGCTGACAAGTAGAGTGGCAGAGATATAAAGTCGCTCAAGAGGAGATGATGTGAACGCATTCTAGTTTGGTTGTGGCGTAAAATCGACAGTCGAGGGATATAACCCAGCGAGTTATATGGAGAGAGGAGAGGGTAATTCTTTCGATCATAAGAATACAAAAGATAAACAAATTACATAGGCATATCTATACATATTAAATAATTGTTTAGATATTAAAGAGCAGCTAAACAACACACGCATAGTATACTTATACATATCAGAATTCACGTGTGTGAGTAGGGAGAAATGTTCATAAATAAGGAAGGTTCATTCATACGGCTACAGTCTATAGAATTAAGCAGTTCATTATACAAGATTTAGTTATAGATATTTCATACACATGGGCATTCTAAGGGTGGGAAAAAAGGTAACAGAGAAAAGGAAATTATAACTCTAAAATGAGCCCATAAGGGAATCTTTTTTTGGACAGGCGATATGATAAGGGATATAATTTGGTAAATATGAATATTTTTGTGTGGGGTCGGCCAACTCACTAAATTGCTAGATAATAAAAGTTACAATATCCATCAAGAAGCAATCAGCAAATCCAGGATGTAGGACATTTCATATTACAGACAATGACGCGCTAGAATTTTCTCACAAGATATTCGATGACACTAAGGCTTGCATATATATAAGACAAGTAAGGAGAGACCTGGTGCAGGTTCAAATTGACTGAAAGAATGCACTGTAAAGAGACCCTATAGTCAGCTGAGAGCGCATGCTGTAGGACGACCGCCTTTTTTTGTATTCTGATTAAAAATAATTCGTGTATACTACGTCAACTTAAAAACTATTTGGAGAAATTTGAAAATGAACTGGGACGGTACATAATGTAATGGCATTAGGTACTGTATTAATTAAGAGGATTGTTGTATTTAAATTTATATATTATCAATGAAATAACAATTAGGGCATGGGTGTGTCGATATTGTTATAGTAGTACCAACAGAAGAGAGGGTTCAGGCTAAGGTCACCTAGGACAGGAGTTGATGGTTTAAGACAGTGACTTGTGAATGAGCATAATGACAACGGCCATTTGCAATAGCGTGGCAACACTCTGTTTAAGACTATTCCAACCAAAAGAAAAAATGAACTGGAGCAAGATTGTCCAATACATCCATGAAAAATTAATATCTAAGAGATAGAAACTATTTCAATGTGTTACGATTGGGTTATAAAGTTGATGTCTGATACCAAGCTGTTGAAGGTAGGGATGTTATGAAATGTTACCTACTTTTGATAGGTTTAGATACTATACCTTTATTAGATCTACGTTATATATGCAGTGTGAAATGAAGATAGAAGCAATGTCTTAGCATAGATTATATCAGAAGTTTTCTACGGATAGCACACATCCTTATTTCTTGAAAATGCAACCAATGCCATCTGTTAGCAAGGCAGGAGGTATACCTCATTCGTTACTCAGGTAGTCTATGAAAGACTATGCTTGAGTCAAGAGAGCAAGTAATAGATCAGAATTCGTCTCAACTATAATGAATAGATAAATTTAGGCCAGGATTAGTGAGATGTGCACTATACATCTGTAAGATCCGCAGAGGGATGGATGGCTAACCAGAGGGTCCTTGAGCCGTGGAGATTAATGGTGTTTTGAGCGATGGGCTAGACACCATGGCACTCTAGCCAGGGCAGAGAAGAGAAGATTCTTGTGTATTGTGTTTTTTTAGGTGTTTATATATTTTGAGGCTAGAAGGTCTGACGGTAGGTGCCCAATCGTTACGATAGTACTCACTGATGCGTCAGCCTAAGCCACAGCAACCTATACATTACAATCCTGTAAACCATAGGACGATCTCATTGTACCAGCCTCAGTCCTCAAAGTAAAGCTGGATAAAAGGTTAGTAGTGCCACCCGATGTGCCCATGGCTGCTGATTTTTTTTATATCAATATGGAATATGAGGCAGAAGATGTAGAGGAGTTTGAGGTTGCTGTGACAAGGTAATTGCTAGAACATTAACGGACATTACTTTGTCTATACTTAGTAGGAGGACGAAGGAGCGGTCTCATAAGCTCTTGCATACAGACTTGGTTTTGACCACTGACCTATTCAGAGAAAAATCAAGACATATCACAGGCATCACCAGAAGATTGCTAAGATACTTACAGGTGTTAGAAACCATTACCCATGGTCCGTGGAAACTAAAGCAGAGCATCTTTATACAAACTAGAACAGAAAAGAAGAATTTAAAAAAATTCACTGATGATAGTTGGGGATAATTGTCATGCCCTCTTTATGCCAGGTTATAACTAAATATTAAAGGCAATGTTTGAAAGTAAAGGATAGCTAGGTTTATTGAGTCAGGCTAGTCATCCACATAGGTTATCTCATTCTTTGGTAATTAAGTCGTCTTCATATGTGATATTACCTATGAGTTAGTATCATGATAGGTATCCTACCATTTCAGGAAATCTAACTGATGTTCAGTATGCAAATGTTCCAATGAGATACGTTATGCAAGAGCAATGAAGTTTACATGTGACAGTAGAGTGCGAGACCCTTACACCAAATAACAGTGTGAGATAAGAAGTGTTAGAGACACTACTTTTACAAATATAATAGATTTGGTTTTTTATGCATTAAGTTGGTGCTACAGAGTTAATATGTTGAAAATCATATGCAGCTTTAGTGTTGCTTAATGTTTTCAGAGAGGGAATTGGTATTAGCGAAGAGGTCCGGTGTTTATATTTAGGA